CGAGTGTGAGAAAGGTAAACACGCATACATCTGCATGCCTGAGTCAATGAAATAATTAAACGTACCTGCGACCTTCTTTCATCTCCCTTCTGTTGAGTCTGTCTCCCCCTGTAGGCTCTCTGAGGAAGTGCAATAGTACATTTGGCACTTTTGGCACGTTCGGCTGTTGTGAGGAAATTATAGTAGACTGACCTTTGTTGTTGTTGTTGTTGATGGTGATGATGGTGATGATCAGGAGGAGGACATGCCCGAGGAGGTGAACATCGACGATCTTCTGGACCTGAAGACGGATGCTGAGAGGACACACAGACTGCAGGTGGCGCTCTTCTACTTCTTCTCGTTTCTTTGACTGAATTTAAGATGGAACAATGAGACACATACAATGCTCAAAAGTCCATATTGTTAACTTTTACAGTAAAGATTGATCACTACTCTTTCTAATAGAGTAATACTACTTTTACTAATTCTTGAAGTGTCCAGAAACAATGCCATTTTGTGTTGTGTCCTCACATATATTCATCTGTGTGTGTGTGTGTGTGTGTGTGTGTGTGTGTGTGTGTGTGTGTGTGTGTGTGTGTGTCCATTCCAGGAGATTCTTCACTCGTGCAACAACAACACTGAGGTAAACAAAACATCCCAGCTTGCAACATGTTGCAATCCTTATGATGCGCAGCATTAGCATCTAAGAACAGTGGTACTTTGACTTACCCCAGCTTTCAAGTTTTTTGAGTTTTGACCCATCACTTGGTACATTTTTTTGCATTGTGTTGCAAGCAAAAAAAAAAAAAAAGACAGGTCGCGTGTTTAGCCAAACCACTTAACTTTGTCTTACAATTTATGCTTACACGGAATGCTTACACATAATGCGAAACATCATAGATGAGCGAACAAAATAGCATCAATGTTGAGGTAGTTTTAAACCTTTAAAGAACTGCAATTTAAATACAAACCGCGCACAACAAATATGGATGGAGCATGTAACAGGACTCCTGAGCATATTATCTTTATCCTCTGCAAAAACAACTGACATTACTGCAGCTTAGTTGCGACGGTCTTCTTCGTGATTTATTGTCAAATCTACGAGTAGTACGTTTGTATGTATTCCTGCACGTGTGTACTTGTATGGTCCTGGCAGGTGTTCATCGGGGATTTGGTTGCCAAACTTCACGGCCTCCAGAAGCAGGAGGAGCTGCACAACGACGGCATCGACCTACCACAGCTCCACATCTATCCCGCCCGTCCCGGATCGGCCGACAGGGAGATGCTGCACTGAGGAAGCGAGCGCACCCCTTCTACTAACCTTGCGCTGGCCACCTGCCACGAGGAAGGCTGGACCACAAAACAAGCACGCCCAAATCCTGCATCCATCCCCCTCCAAGTGTTTTCCTTCGTCCAAAACTTCAACCGTGAGGCACAACAAACACAACCTCGAAAAGATATCTCCCAGAACCAGCAAGAACCTCAAAGCACAACAAGAAGTGGACCATCAGAACTTTGATGATGATCTCAAAGCATTCGTTACACTTGACAAACAATCAGATCACTCTTTTTTGTTTTTCTTCATTTTTACATTTCATTTCCTGATTTCGCGGACACACACGCGCGAGTCTGTTTGAAACGTCAACATGTGATGTCACCTCACAAACACTCACAAAGCCGCGTGTGTGCACGTGTGTATGGACTTTCCTGTTTCGCACACAAACATTTATCACACACTCCTCAGCCTCAAGCCTTGTTTGCGGCCACACGCACACACATAAAATACACACAAATGGACGTACAATATACACATGCACATATAACACACAGACATGATACATCCTACGTGACACATAACTCGCACACAATTTACGATATGCCAACAAATTTACACAGTCCATACACTGATGAACATACTCAGATTAAACATAATTCACATGAATGCAAAATACACACACACATCACTCACACAAAATACACATTACTCACACACAGAATACATATTCGTTATACATAATACAGACGTATACATTTACACATAATGCACATGCACAAACATGATACAAACCAACCATACAGTATATATGATGCACACACATCCATTATACACGTTATACAAAATAGACAATAAACAAACTCTTCACACATTCACAAGACACGCTGCATGCATGCATACAAAACACACACAGATATCTTTCAAAAGATACACACGCACATTATAGACACACCACATTGTACACGTATACAAAATGCACACATACATAATGCACACTTTATACTCGTGCAGGCAGACGATACATAATCCACAATAACACATAAATCACTCTTGCAGACATAATACACACATGCATGCATTATTTACAAATGACACATATAAGACACACTTTTGTGTGGTTCAGATTTTCCAGATGTGTTTGGACATGTTTTGAAAAACAAAACAAAAAATTGTACTCTGAAAGGATTCCCGTTGCACTTGTATGGTATTTTATTTTGTAATCCAAGCCATGGTCCATAACAGTCTCAATTGATGCATGGAACCAGGAGTTCAGAACCATTGACCAAAATGCATCAATTGCTTGACAGAAAAGTAATGTTTACAAAATAAGAGGGAATAAGTTTAAAGTGCGGTACAATTACATTTGCTTCATGAGGTTTTACCGTTGTGGAAACAGCACCCCCTGCCGGCATAATACTGTACTGCCAGTCATTTCAGCATGGACAAGAGGATGCTAATTTTGAAAAATACTTGCATTTCATTTTGTTAACAATTTGTTAAGTGAAAATTAATACTTAAATTAAATTAATTAAAAAAATAAATGCGTATAAGAGAATTTACATTAAAACAAATACATTAAAATAGTCAGAATTTAGAACAACATTGAAAAATAATACTGGATTAAAAAATATACAAATCTATCGTAACGATGATAGAATTGACATTAAAAAATAACTAAACAAGTTTAATCAACACTTACTAGCAATAAATAAACAATTCTGTGGTGGGGGGGGGGACGAACAAAATAACCTCCAATCATATCACAACTTATATTTTCTCATTAAATCAAAGTGACTTAATAATTAAGTTATGTCGAAACAGGACAAGTTTATTAGACTTTGGCAAGCTTATTTTCTTCAAGTTTCGTGCTCTTAATTTAGCTTAATTGGTTGTAAAGTGCATCAGTCAAGAAAAAACATTTTGACAAGTGGTCTTGCCCTGGGGACGTCATCGCGATGTCACACTGAAACAGGGCTCACCTGAAAACACACAAACGCACGGACTTATGCACACACACCGTGAATGCTCTAAAATGGGTTTTTTGTTTGAAGGCTACATTTGATTTTTACGACGGTTGAGATGACAATTGAGAAACAAAAATGTTCAAATAAACAAGTTCATTTGAACAAACTGTAACCGTTTACCTTATTGCCGCCCGCACCGCGTCCCAAGACGACGCCCAGCAGGGTGTTGATGACGTTGGCGGCGCAGAGGAGCGCCTGCAGCCCACTGGCGCCCCCTAGTATGCTGAAGAGAACTACATTCCACTGGACCACACCCTTGGGCTCCAAACATACACCCGACCACAGACTTCTGTTGTAGAGGTACCCGGCGTCCCTATAGTAACGTAAAGGTAGTAAGTACTTAGTACTGTAGTAGCACGAGTAACAGTTTTTCCAACTACTGCTTTTCATCCCTCTATGATATGTCTCTGCACTATCGGCCAACTCTGGCATACGAGTAGGACAATCACATGGTAAGACAGAACTAGTGGTGGGCTTTTGGGTGTTACTAGTAGGGTCCAGAAGGCTACTAGTGTGTGACACGTGCCTATTTGTTGGGCCTCGTAGTGTACAAAGTCCACCATGGTAGTTTATTTATGAAGGTTGAATTTCATACAAGCAGGCCAAAAGTGGCACTAATTATGAAAAAAAAGGTTACTAGTCAGACGGCTGTTCTCGTACTCCGAATTGTCTTACTAGTGAGGACTAGAAGGGTATCAGTACATGTTATAGTTGTACTCTTAGTAGAAGTAGAAATATGATAGTGGGAATAATACTTACAGTAGGTGCATAGATGGTGGGTGCGTGTGTTACCTGTCGGCAGTGGGTTGAAGTGGTACGCCCCAGGCTGATCCACTTGTAGTGTTGTAGAGACAAAGAGGACCTTGGACCAGCCCTGTGATGCTAACCAGGCAACAAAAAGCAGAAGACAGCAGACACGCACACGAGTACAACGCCTGGCGCAACATCTGCACACAAAACACACAACACAACAATTACCATGACTACTATTACGATGACTACCATACTGCACGCTTCGAGTACATTCTCCTATAAAGTGAGAAACATAAAGTTAGCCCACCATTGTTCTCTGTGGTTCATGAAAATTACGTAAATTAGAGGTCAGTACAGACGGGTAGACATACTAGAAATACACTAGAACTACATCTAATACAAAACTACACTGAAAAAAAAATAGTGCGTTGAATTGACCCAATTTTGTTTCATCAAGTGGCTGCACAAAATAAAATCATCCAGGTATTTTTTTTTAAGTCGATGTATAATCTACTTAAAACCTATTCCTACTACTATGAGTAATCCGATGACTACTTCAGAGAACTACTTCTACCACACTATTTGTTGTTCTTACATACTAATAGCACTACTACATTATTACTTTTCCAACTACAGTACTACCTTTGTCTTATTCCTAACATAACACCATTACAAATGTACAAATTCCTACTGATGAGCGTGCAGCGTTACCTGTGTCCTGAAGGCGCAACATCCTGGTGTGTGGCGGCTTTGCAAAAATGCTCGAGCCCCAATCACAACCTGAAAATACAAAAAACACAATGCCACCACACACATATTAAAGAAACTAAAGCTACGATTGATCAGGATAGTCAAATTATTTGCCGTGTTTCACACGTTGAACCAGTGCAACCAAATTAAGGAACAAATAAAATCAACCAGATGGAACAACAATGCTCCCAAATGAAGAATAAATAAATAAAAATAACAATTTGTACCAACACAAAGCCACTAAATGTAACAAGCTAATAATTGACAAAATAAATTAATCCGACTACTGTATGTGGAACAAGGCTACCAAACAAAAGAGTACCTACAAGAACATGCATGTACCAATGCTACTAAAGGAAACGAAGAAAGGGAAGCAAATTGCAGAGCAAATCAAAGCAACAATTTTGCGGCAACACTATCAAATGAAGTACCAAAATTAAAATAACAATATGAAACAATGCTGCTAAATTAAAGCAAAGACATGTAACAATGCCACCAAATAAAGGAACAAATTAAAGCCTAACACCGAATTAAGAAAGAAATTAAAGCTGCAATATGTCGCAACATTAGCAAACGCAAGAGCAAATTCAAGCAACAATGTAACAACTATGAAGGAAAACAAAGCAAGAATGAAAGCAACAATACTTAACGTGACAGAATGAAGGCACAAAATAAAAGCAGAAATATATTTTGAAAAAAAACAAAACAAAAAAAAAAACGTGACCAAATGACCAAAGAAATTAAAGCAACAAAATGAAATTCAAGTGGTATTTCAGAGGTGTCAAAACATCACAAGACACCAGTAAGTCACACGACACCAACATGACAAAGATGACTGTACTGGGTTGTGGTCTCACCAGGAGTCCAGAGCTCCAGAGTCCTGTGGCCCAGGAGGCCTCTCTGGTCACGTGACCCTCCAACAGGAAATGGACCTTCAGCTCCGGCAGCAGCAGCAGAATGTTCGCCACGGTGCATACGGTCGCCAGGGCAACCAGAGCCACGCCCACACAGCGCAGACACCTGGACACGCACATCCTTAGATCTGAGCTGCGTAAAAAGAAAAACAATCTGGAGTCAGACCAATTTGGTTCAAATGCACACACAAATAAATTACCAAATCATTGTGTGAAATGTGAAAAGTAACATTCGGGTAATGCGGGGAACTTTTTTTTTTCCCCCCCAACAAAATTCACATTTTCTACATTTCTATGTAAAAAAATTCTAACATTGCCACATTGCTCAAATTCCACACTTTTTACAGTGAATTTCATGAATTAAGAGTTCCTCAATCCACTTTTTTGACCAATTCAAACCAACTAAAAAATATTTTGATCATAACCCAAACTCTGGGCGGCCCGGTGGTCCAGTGGTTAGCGCATCGACCTCACAGTGCAGAGGTCATGAGTTCGATCCCGGCTCCGGCCTTCCTGGGTGGAGTTTGCAAGTTCTCCCCGGGCCTGCGTGGATTTTCTCCGGGTTCTCCGGTTTCCTCCCACATTCCAAAAACACGCATGGCAGGCTGATTGAACACACTAAATTGTCCCTAGGTGTGAGTGTGAGCGCGGATGGTTGTTCGTCTCTGTGTGCTCTGCGATTGGCTGGCAACCGGTTCAGGGTGTCCCCCGCCTACTCCCCGAAGACGGCTGGGATAGGCTCCAGCAACCACCGCAACCCCGTGAGGATAAAGTGGATCGGAAAATGGGTGAATCATTCTGGTTATTCTGAAATAAACGTGCACTCACCATCTGATGGACGTCCACCTCGGAGTGGACCAGAAGAGGAAGCTGAGGAGTATATAGTAGGACGCGCACACACGCACGTTGCCTTATAAGGATGCAGGAAATCTCCTCTTTCCTTATAGGGAAGCAGGAAGTGTCCTGCCGTCAAAAATAACATAGGAGGCAACACTTCCATCACACTGCACAGCCCCCCAATTAAAAACATAAACATATGCCAGCAAGATATGTAGCGATGCTACTCACACTCACACGCAAGCAAATGAAAGCATCATATGAAATAACGTAACCTAAAAATATTGGCAAACGTGAACAAATTAAAGCAACGTGTTACATTTCTAAAACATAGTGGCTGAATTTGAAAAAAATTGAAACAAGCAATAATATGCAACAAAGAAGAAGGAAAATACTGGTTTATTTTGACATCATGAAGAAATTAAAGTGACAACGCAGCCTAAAAATTGGCTGTGGTCGATTAAAGTAACAATAGGCCTATGTAACAACAATCTAAAGACACATGATGCATTTGCCTCACCAATAAAATTAAAGTTACTGTATGTAACACATCAAACTACAAACGGTAAATGAAATCAATATGTAACAACACAACCAAAAATCCGTGGGTGCAATTAAATCGCTGACTCAATTAAAGCAACACGATGTAACAACACAACCTCAAAATATTGCCTGAATTTGACACAATAGGCAAATGAAAGCAACAACATGTAACAAACAAACTGAACATATTGGCTGCATTTGACATCATGAAAAAAATTGGAGAAAAGATTTGGAAAAACGCAACATGAAAAGTACTATTTAGCAAATGAAAACAAAGTATGTAAAAGCACAATCAAAAACTTCGTAGCCACCGCCACACTTTGATCTTGTCATAGCAATTGAAGAAGAGCACTCTCAAATTTTGCTGGATCAGCGCAGATGCCGCTTGCACGCTTGGCACTAGCACTGGTGCCACTGTTGCTGATGCCTGTGCTAAAAATAAGGATGAAGCGAGAAAATAAACACTTCTTGTTTTTCTATTTTCAGTTCTTCTTAAAACGTGTCGTCCGAGTTTGAGTCACGGCTTTGCAGAAATGGCCCGTTAGAAAACTATCCCACAAATTTGACACTTAACCTGCTGACGGCATCCAGCGATGTGGTTCTTCGCTGTTAATGTCACATGCGTGAGCAGTAAGCGTCAGAAAGGTCCACAGGTTGATGAAACTTCTCTTATACGCCCAGACAAAATTATACAAATATGACATTTATGAGTCAGATATTTTCTGTAAGTGGACAGTGTCCTTCACACTAAACGAAAGATTTGGAGAACTCTGGATCTATCTTTTCCAAATTGGTTCAAAAATAACAGATTTGTTTTTCAACCATTTTATTTTTTACAAATTATACCTACTTATTACTCCATTCAAGTTTGCCACAGTCATGAATGTGATTCCTTCAAGAAACTTGCTTCTCTTAAAAGAAGAGCCTGTTTGCCAAATTTGGACCCTAGACAGACTTCAATCGGCAAGATCAAAATACATTGGTTAGAAATAATAAACATAATATATGTTCCGTGTTTCAAAGTGATATTTATACAACCACATACGTTATTGCTTACTGGTTTTGGTTGGTTAACAATTTACACTTGGAAAATCTCTTCCATCTAAATATTTTCCTACAAATTAAGGAAAAGACATTTCTTTAGACACAGGCCAAAAATTATCCTCTTAAATTAAAAAAAAAAAAAAAAAGACAAGTGTCCCTTGAAACACTGGTTGACTGACCTATGGCAATGTCATTATTCCAACAAATTCTGAAAAGATATATCCCCGCTGGAACAAATATAATGTTTAGTTTCTTTAATTCTACACAATAGCAAACTATTGTCATTCAAAACCTGTATTTGATGGTTGAAATTTAAACTAGACAGCTCGTATATGAGCACACATTAAAAAAAAAAAAAAAAACTCGCTTTATAAACTCCTCTTTCTTCTCGTCTACCGTGTACTCAGTCATATTAACATATTTGTCTGTTTTTCTGTTTTGTAACTAGTGGCGTTCAATAAAGATTGTAAAAAAAACGTGCAGCTTCCTGGATTCGTTTACGCGTTTCGAGGCAGCGTCATATAGTATTGAACAGTTCCCGTTAGCATTAGCGTTAGCATTCGACGAAGGAACAGCGCAGAAGCGAAAGTAAGTCCTTTTTCTATATTACGCCAGCTACGGAACAAACAAGTACCTGTCACTACTTTGAAAAAAAAAAACAGTCGAAAGATTTCTTTTTATTTAGTCGGTGCGCGAGTACTTTATAACTTGAAACCCAATGTTGTGAAAAACGTAAATAAAAATAGAATGTCGCACAGCCATCCGTGAAACAAATGTACATTCGTTGTAAACTCGAATACGGAAGACTAGCGTTACAACGCATTTATTTGAGCGAAGGGTGACGCAACGCAGTGTTAATGATCGCACTGCCTGTGCTGTTTGGAACTTTTGGAATGGCGTGAGGGAATATAAACAAGTTTAAAGATCTGTAATGAGAGTGGAACAAGTCAAAACATGAAGTACATGTGTGTAAAATCAAAATCCTATTTTGGACAAAGTCAAACAAACATTGGGGAAAATACGTATAATACGAGAACATTCCAAATATATATTTATGTATAAAAGATGTATTAAAAACATACATCAGACCTAAAATTACAATATTTTATAAAACCTTCAAGATATTACACAAAAAATAAAACTATTAAAAAATTTTAAAATAATTTGACAAAAAAATTACATTTTGAGCAGCTAAAAATTGAAAAATGTACATGGAATAGGTGTCGTCAGTGTCACTCGTCTCTATAATCGTATCAAACATCAACATCAAACCCTGAGCAGATGTCCCGATCCCAAGATTGGAAATCAGGCACTTTAAGGCCATTTAAGGCTGATCAGAATCAGGGGGAAAAGATCAGGTTTAGTTTTATTTTGTATTATTATTTATCCATCCATTTTCAACACTGTTTATCTCAAACAGGGGAGTTTCTGGAGCCGACCCCAGCTGACTTTGTCCAGAAGGCAGACTACACCCTGAACTGGTCGCCAGTCCGTCAAAGGGTACATAAGGAGACAAATGACCATTCAGTATCACTGATTTTAACCCAATATATATGCATTTACCACACTTAGCTTTTTCAACAGATGATCATGAATGGCAGTTGACATTTTGTGTTGATGCTCCAAAGCAGAAAGAGGCGACTTTCGAGAATGCGGGGCCGTCACAGAAGTTCGTATCTCGGCCTGCTGCTGCTGGTCTCGCAGCTCTACCAGCTGGGCTTGGAGAACATCCCTCCCATCACCCTGGCCATGCTGGGCCTCAACGCTTACCTCTTCCTCTTCCCTGCAGCTCCTCTGATGAAGGTACGCCACACAGGTTTATCCATCCATTCATCCATTTTCTAATCTGCATATTTTCACAAGCGCCAAGGACGTGCTGAAGCCCATCCCAACTGTCTTCGGGCAGTAGGCAGGGTACACCCTCAACTGGTTGCCAGCCAATTGCAGGGGACATATAGACGAACAACCATTCACATTCACACACACACTCACACCAAGGGACAATTTAGAGTGTTCCATAAACCTGCCATGCATGTTTTTGGAATGTGGGAGGAAACCGGAGTACCCGGAGAAAACCCACGCAGGCATTGGAAGAACATGCAAACTCTACACGGGAAAGCTAGAGCTGGAAACGAACTTTGCACCTCTGCACTTTGGGGCCGACGTGCTAACCAGTTGACCCACCTTGCCGCCACCATAAAAATATGTCGTTGACAAAAGACATTTCAAGGTAACGGCACTCAAAGAATAAAATTAGAAAAATCTTAATCGTACATAAAATATCTGACCCCCAAAAGTTTGTGTTTAAAACATTTGAAAAATAAGACAAAAAAGACACTTTTTTTTGTCTTAATACAAAGTTATTGAAAAAATACAAACACTGTCAATAAGAAATATAAAAATATCCGAAACAATGTATTAGCTGGAGATCCTTAAAAAATGGATTTATTTTTGATAAAGTAGACTCCTAATAAAAACAAGGAATGTGACTCGCTCACCCATGACATGCTGGCCCCCTCTCCCCCGCAGGCATGTGTCAGCGTCCATCAGGCGTACTGGTCGGGCGAGTGGCGCCGCCTCCTCCTGTCTCCTTTCCACCACGCCGACGACATGCACCTTTACTTCAACATGGTGTCGTTCGTCATGAAGGGGATCCGTCTGGAACGCCGCCTGGGCAGCGTTTGGTTCGCATACGTGCTGGCAGTCTTCTCGCTGCTCACCGGCGCGCTCTACCTGGCGCTGGAGGCAGGGCTCACCCAGCTGACCGAGGACCAGTCGTACAGCTCCGCCTGCGCCGTCGGATTTTCAGGTTGGACTTCTACACAAATGAGATATAACAAGGAAATATTGACTGCATTCGACCATTGAACAAATTCACACAGCAATACAAAACAAACCAACTTAACACGCTGTATTTGACACATTAAGTAGCCAAAACAGCGATATGTAACAATGGAATGGACAGATACTGCATCGGTTGCATTCGGCTGAAGGAAAAAAAATGAAAGCAACAATATGTAACAAATTTGCTTCAAAATACTGTCTGCATTTGATACAAAGAACACCTTAAAGCAACAATGTGGAACAAATAAAGCCAATGGTCTGAATGTAACATGGAACCTACAGATTTTTGGCTGCATATGGCAGAAGCAATAATGTATATTTATTGCATTAGCCATAACTAACAGATTAAAATAACACGATGTAACAAACACGGCTTAAACATAATGGCCGCATTTAACACAATGAACAAATTAAAGCCACAATATGCAGGAACAATTGAACCTAGAAATATTAGCAAAATTTGAGACGGTTGACAAATTCAACTTAGAATATTGAAACCATGAAAACAAAAACTTTAGGGATGAGGTTTTAGTCCCACTGAACAAATTAAAGGCAAAATATGTAACGCCACGACAGAAACGTTGACTGGAGTCAACACGCGAAAGAATTACCTCAGAAATGAGTAACAATGTGATTTGTATTGATTTTTGTATGCACATTTGTTTTGATGTGTCTTAGGGGTGATTTTTGCACTTAAGGTGCTGAGCAATCACTACCACCCCGGCGGCGTGACATACGTGATGGGCTTCCCGGTGTCCAACCGCTATGCCAGCTGGGTGGAGCTCGTCCTCATCCACATCACAGCGCCGGGGTAAGTGAGTCCTAGTCACTCTGGAGTGAAACAGCCAACAAGGGCAGCATTAACTGGTCTTCCGCATCCTCACCAGGACCTCCCTGATTGGCCACCTGGCGGGTATCCTGGTGGGCCTCCTCTACACAACCGGACCACTGAAGAAGATGATGAAGATGGGTGCTGGTGAGCTCGAGAATTTTTTTTTACGTTACTTTGATATCCCAGTCAAGGTTCCTGTAGGGTTTGGCAATTCATCAAAATGTAATCATGATTTCGATTTTAGCTTCTCTCGGTCGTTAGAAATGTTATATGCGAAAGAAGAACGATTAATGTGCCGAACGGCACGGTGCATTTGCAAGTCCCCGGCATGAAAGTAACCTGAATGCAACATGTTCCTTGTATAGCAAGCGTGTAGCGCATGTGATTCTGCCGTCCCAGAATTCTGCCATCCTATAGCTCCCGGTTGAAGTTTGCTGTAAAACTGCCACATAAAACCCCAAGAGAATCGCATTAATAGAATCACTCCACATTTAAACATCACAATGTTCAACCAAAACCCATCATTTGGTGTACTAAACGTCAGCTAGCTTAATGCTAGCATGTAATGCAAAAGTCCATAGACGGGCTAATGGAAATTAACATTGATGGAAACTAATTTTTTCAACAAATACGACTAATGCACACAGAGCAGCAACACATACAAACAGAGCACACAATAGTCCTCACGGACATGCTACGACTGCTACTTTGACTCTTTACCTCGTTCAATAGTGCTCAGTGCTGCCTGGCATGTTGTGGCACAATGTAGTAGTAGTGCAATGTCGGTGCGCTCCTTTAAATAAGGACTCGTGTAAGCAATTGCCCCAAATTTGCAATAACTGAGGCAAATAGCAAGGGAACATTATAGATGAATAAGATATAACAGAATACTGTACACACTATAATTGTTCTTCTCATCAGGGCTGATGTCATTCAGCACTTCTGCGCCCAGAACGTACCACAGATCCTCAGGTAACATGCTCACACCATGTAGTCCAATTTTTTTTTTTTTTTCCAATAATGACCCTATACCAATCACACTGTTTTCGTGTTAGGCTACAGCGGCAGACACTCCCAAAGCAATCAGTACACAGCAGATGATGGAACATCAACGTACACGGGCGGAATGACTGAGGAGGAACAGCTGGCGGCAGCCATCAGGAACAGTCTTCGCGAAACAGGTTGGCACCGGGGCAGGGGTTGGCTACAGATCATTACTTTTGCGACAATGACAATATTTCTCATAAAGAGCAATTAACGCTAGATGCTCACTTGGACTCAAATAGCAAACGCTAAGTAGCTAGTAGGCTACATTGTTACTCAGTGCTCACAGGCCAGACTCAAATGCAAGAGCCAAGTAACTAGCATATGCCAGCTAGGTAACCAGTCGAGCTAAAGAGCGGTTAGCACAAATGGCTATCGCATGAGTCTTTCTTGAAGCAAACAACATCGCTCTCTGTTTATGTGTTTTTCAGGACGCCACGGAGACGGTGCGGCTCGGTTTGCGGCTCCACCTCCATACGGCTTCCGCTTAACGGATGAGGAGCTCCGTGCCAGGAGGCTGATGCGATTGGATGGATTCATGTGAAAAAAAAAAAATGAGAAGAGGATTGCCATGCTTCTTCCACCAAGTGCTGGCCACGGAAACTGATGAGCTTTGGCCTTTTGGAAACTTTTTGATATGATCGAAAAGCACTTTTTTCTAATGCTACTTTTTTGTCTTTTTATTTATTTGTGAATGGCTCCTGTTGCATCATTTACATTTGTAATAAAATATTAATGATTATATTATTATAGTTATACTATTAACGAGGAACCTATTGGAGGACTGTTGTGTGTTTGGACTACAGTAATGACTCTGACTAAATTTAGTTGAGTGGTAATTTAAAAGAAGGGGGAGTACTTTTCCAAGGTCCAGAAACCTTTGAGATGCGGTCTGCAGCACTGAACATATCTGATCGGAACCGTTTAGTCCCAGGGCCGACAAATCCCAAGAACTAAATTTGGAAATTTGCCTTTAAAATATTCAGTAGTTCTCCAGTTCCAAACGCACAATGTGCCTCCAAAGGATACTAGTTCCTTGGTCAAGTTCCACGCTATGTCAGTTCTTGAGAATTTGTTATTAGTACAAAGTACGACTCGGGAACTTTAAAGTGCATTTTTGACTACTAGGAATGACAATTTTGTTTCACTTCCAGGAATCTTTACCTCTCGACAGTGGAAACTTTTCTTCTACATAGTATGAGCGAAAAATAATTTTTTGTGTACTACTCAAGACCAAAAGCACAGCACTAGGAAGGAACCTTTTGAAGGTCCATTGTGTTTCAAGTGTTGGAATAACTGTCTACATTTAGTATTGAGGTAAACGTTTCTGAAACCGAAACTGGGTTGAGTCATTCCTGTCGTCCAAACACAAAAAGGCTCTACAAAAGTTCCTGGGTAGAAATTCCTGGACATGCGTCGCTAGATTCCATTGTTTGTTTACTCTCCTCCATGCCTTTGGATCTAAGACTTTCTGAGGGCCAATTTCTGTTGGGGGCAACAGAAAACCTGCAAATATATTTGGCATTTTTGGAACAGGGTCTGACATGTGATCGGAACACATTAGTTCCAGGAACTAACAGTAATAAGTCCTCACTCCTGGATTTTGTTGTGTGTTTACGACATTGTACAGCTCAGAAATCATTAAGTTGAGTTTTTGACACAAGGCCTCGCAACTTGCAGTCAATAGCTCCTTCTCGTCACTGGAACTTCTTGTTTGGTGAGGTATCACCAGTCAAGTGTAAACAAGGTTTGCGCTCGATTATTTAAGAATTTTTGTCTGTTGGGAGTGACGGAATGAAGATTGTCCACGTGGACCAACAACTTTAATTACAGTGCACTGTCCATACTGGTTGTACAACACTCACGCATCTGCAGATGAAGGAGACGGGATGGAGGCTGTCCTTGGCGCAAACCAATTTTGGAACAATGTGAAACAAATATTCACCCTCAAATGTAAATTTATGGACAATGTTGAGTTTTCATTGAACCAAAGATGAATTTTAGAGAGAGAATCAGGATATACCCTGGACTGGTTGCCAAGTAATGTCAAGGTCCGTACACACAACCAATGGACTAGTCCCATGACGTAAAGACATTAAAGTCAATAATTTTGTTTGTAAATTGTTTAAATCAGAGATGCAAGTAAACTTTTCTAGATGAATTTTTGGAGCAGATTCCAAATCTGTCCTGTTTTTTTTTTTTTCTACAGCGCATCAGGTTGTAATTATAACAATAATATGTAATGTAGTAATGTATTAAGTGATATTTATGAATTAAGGGTCTGGTTCAGCAACAGATGGAATTTCTTTCTGAAAGGTCATAGCTATACATTACATCGCCAAACTTAAAGGTCAAACTTAAAAAACAAAAAAATGAAAATATCTTAACCCTTTCATGCACCAATAATGATAACCTGTAACTTGATACAATGACAAGATGTCCACTGTCATAACCGCTGTCCCTGAAAGGGTTGAAAACCGGATGTGCTAGAAAAAAAGAGTAAAGATGTTTTTTTCCAATCAGCGTCAAAAATACTTCCAGGGCAGTGGTCTCCAACGTGGTGCCCGCGGGCACCAGGTGGGCCGTGAGGACCACACCAGGAGCCCGCCAGTGCTAGGTTTGTGATTTGCTAGTAAAAATTATGATTTAAAAATGCAAACACAGGCAGTATTATAGATTCGTGAGGACCACACCAGTAGCCCGCCAGTGCTAGGTTTGTGATTTGCTCGTAAAAATTACGATTTAAAAATGCAAACACAGGCAGTATTATAGATTCTATAGGTACCTATTTAGCTATCTATGTATCTTGCTAGCTACAGTATCTATATAATATTCTAATATTATTAAATGTAATTTGTACAAATGTTATTTCAGACTGTAATGATGGTCAGCAGTCAAGCTTAACATTTTATTTGACTTTTTAATAACAACGTGGCAGAGCTGTAAAACATGCGTTGTGCTCACTCCAACAGTCACTTCCTGGAACTCCCCCTTATAGGCGGGACCTGTCAATCAACTGGAGTATGACCTTTCACAGTGCAAACTGTCACAAAGCACTACTCATATAATAATAGCCTATTATATGACACAGACGTGTATCAATTTGCTTGCCCTTCACACAATCAGGACACATGAAGTAGCTCTCACTCTCAAAAAGGTTGGTGACCCCTGTTCTAGGGACACAAAGCCATCACTGATTTAAAACTTGTTGTTGGCCAGTGTCATGGGCCGGTTGCCAATCGTTAGCAAGGTGTGGCACACAGACAAACAACTGATTTAGAACACCTCTTTCCTTTTTTTCTAGCACATCAGGTTATTGAGATATTTTAATTTTTTGTTTTGAAGTTTGAAAGCTTGCACAACATGGGACTTTACCACGTATTGGGATTCATAGCTTAATTTAGAAATATTACAAGATATTTTTTTTTTTATCATATGATTACTTTGAAAACCTGATTGTTAGAATGCATTGTTTGTCCACGGTGTCGCCCCTCCCTTTTGTTTTGTTACTTTTTCAGTGTGGGCTGGGCACCTCGCTAATTGGTGCACCTGGTTGTTTATTGTTGTACATATGATATTAGCTCCATGTACAGCACTTTGTATACAGCGGTGGTTGTTTTAAAGTGCTCTATAAATACAGTTGAGTTGAGTATCCCAACTGTCTTCGGGCAGCAGGCGGGGGACACCCTGAACTGGTTGTCAGTCAGTCGCAGAGCACACGTCACAGACGAACAACCATTCTTGCTCACAATCACACCGATGGACAGCTTAGACTCTAAACTGGACAGTTTAGACCAGGGGTGTCAAACTCATTTCACATTGTGGGCCGCATACGGCCTCGGGATATGTCAAGTGGGCCGGACCATTAAAATTATACCATACTCTGCTATAAATAACAAAAATATCATGTCTTTCCTTTGTTTTGGTATAATGAACCACAAGAACATTAGGAAAATGTTGACATTTAATGAACATATCTTTTACAAAACATTTCATGAAACACCTTAGATTTTCTTAGACAAATGTGCAATTTACTTTTATCATTCACATATATGCATCGCCACTGATCCCACTGATTGTACAAAGGCACAAAACTTAAACAAGCAATTGGTATTGAAAAACTGCATTTTTTTTTCACATTTAAATTATCCTGCAGGCCTGATCAAACCTCCTCGGGGCCAGTTCCGGCCCGCGGGCCGTATGTTTGACACCTCTGGTTTAGACTCTAACTGTCCCTTGGTGTTCCATCAATCTGTCAGGTACGTTTTTGAAATGTGGGAGGAAAGCGAAGTACCTGGAGTAAAACCCACGCGTGCACGGGGAGAACATGCAAACACCACACAGGAACGCCGGAGCCGAAATCAAACCCTGTAACTCTGCCCTGTGAGGGCGACGTGCTAACCAGTAGACCACAGTGCCGCCCTTGTTATCAATCTCCCTTTTGAAAATATTTGAACAGTTTTTACTTGATTTCAAAACCAGTTCGTCATCAATTTGTTGTGTGTATATGCAATATGAGAAAATCATACCTTTATTTGGCTTCAATGGCCCTGTGCAAGAATTCATAATGACAATGTGGCCCCCCTGACAAAGATAACTGGCTTTTGAAGTGTGTCTTCTACCCATGTTTAGTCATGCCTGTATAACTGTCCCATGCCCGTAGCGAAATTTTGCTTCCTTGAAGCACTCATCAGTTAATTTAAATTTGCTACACTCCTTACTGGAGACCTCGTGGAGACGCACAGAGCATCGGAATGTGCCAGTTGATACAATCTCAGAAGCGGTTTAGGAGAAATGAAAGTCCCGATGCCGCACCATGAAGTTTCGGTACCGCCCTTCTGATGATATCAATATGTCGTGAATTGTTGTGACCACTGCAGCCATTTGTCTTTAACTCATTGGTGCCCGGAATATTCTGCGAATAAAAGCTTCGAAGAAACTGTTCATCATCTCCAGCCTGTATTTGGATAGCCAACATCCTCACCATCCGAAATGAACGAACACGCGGAGGGAGAGAAAGGCCATCTCCCTCCCAACACTTTATACCGTAAATATTCGCCTACTTCAATTGGGTCTCTGTATCTCTGCGATGACGCTGACTTTAACGACTTTAGTAGACCTGTTTCACATAACTTGATGTCAAGCATCATGGAAGGGGCGTGGCATCACCTCATTTTTGGCATTCTCCCGACAGCGCTTCTCTGCTAATTACACATTAATGACATGGGCGTTATCCGACTATGACACACACCTCGTCCAGTTTGTCCGCTTTCACACATGTCACCACTGTCTTCTCGTCATGGCTTCCAAGGGGAGAAAATGGAAGTTTTTACTCCTGCTCAATGTGCTGGGGCTGGCGGCAATATTCATTCTCTTGACCAACACCAAATGGTTGCAAAACGGTCTGCTTCTGCCTTCGAAAGCTCCAGTCCTGCCTGATCCTAGGACGGTGGAGGAGACGACGCAAATGGAGACGCTGACTGAGCCAGAACTGGAGAAGACAACAATGGCATTGGAGATAACCAACGAGAGCGTGCAGGACACTCTGAAGGAGAGGCTCAGCTACCTGGAGGACATCGTGTTCAAACACCTGAGCGGTAGGACTCAACCAATCCTGACAGTACTTCCTGGTCACGTCACCAAATTGAACGTCACCTGTTTTAACTCGTGCCCTGAAATTGTTTATCTACACATTTAAAAATGCTGCGGTTTTCCCCTAACCCACGTGCTGGGTAACTGTGGACTCTGAGCAGGCTGGGTTGATTATTTTGACCCAGCAAATTGGATTGAGGATTGCATTTGGGCTTTCTGAAGAGCTGAAGCTAGCTGCCTTTTGAACATGTTTGTGTGCCGAAGTTGAAGTCAATTTAATGTAACATTATTAAAACCCGTTGGTGGCGACTCAATGGTTCAGAGGGTAACACCACGAACTTGGGACACCAGGATCACGTTTCAAATCACAGTCAGAGTGAAATCTAACATCCAGTTGGGTGTCAAGCGGCAAAGCCTGAATTAAAAATGGGAAGATTGTGTCAGCAAGGTCATCCAGAACAAAAACTGTGCCAAATGTATCATGCAAGTGACTTGCGGACCAGGGCACAATGGTACTTATTTTTCGAAAATGTTGTCATAATAAAAATTGCATTATTTTTAAACACAGCTATACTGATAACCCAGTAACCCATTTATTTCTTGGTAGCTTGAAGTCATCAGTATGGGTGTTTTTATCCCATTGTCGGATCAAAAACCTTGACCAAATGTGCAGGGTCAAATCCTCAACATACTGTGCTGGGGATTAATAACCCAGCATTGGCTCAGCTCCTTTTGGAACCAGTACTTGGTTAGCTGAATCAATCAATTTGGGTTACATTTAACCCAGCAGCTCTAAGAGTTTGCCCTGACATTGACTAGTGACCAGTCAGCATTAAACTTGGAAGACAAGGTACCACTATCATGTACAGTACACTGTACAATATTATTTGCTAATTTGCGGATGACTGAATCATGATTGTGCCGTGTTCAGGTCTTTCCAAACGTCTGGGCCTGGTTGAGGGCTTCGGGGCTCCGGGCTCAGACGGCCGTCCCATCACGCTGTCCTCGAAAGACCAAGCCGAAGCCCAAACCCTGAAGATCAAGTACGGCTATGATCCCATCATGAGCGACAGGATCTCTCTGGACCGAACCATTCCGGACTTCAGACCCAGCAAGTGAGTGCCAATCCGACACAGAAAAAAAATTACCGGTAATACTTTCTGCCATAAAAGAAAGAAATTATGGTTTAAAACCTGATAATAAAGCTGTGCAGATGATAAAATAATGCTACACCATTGTTAGTTCCAACTACTAACGTCATCTTACTCACGTGAGCCCAAAAGCTATGTAGTTGTCAGCGGATATTGATTACTTGCCTCGGTGGTCAACTGGTTAGCACGTCGCCCTCACAGGGCAGAGGTGCAGGGTTCGATTTCGGCTCCGGCCTTCCTGTGTGGAGTTTGCATGTTCTCCCTGTGCCTGCGTGGCTTTTCTCCGGGTACTCCGGTTTCCTCCCACATTCCAAAAACATATTTGTTTGACTATGTGTGCCCTGCGATTCGCCAACAACCAGTTCAGGGTGTCCCCCGCCTACTGCCCGAAGACAGCTGGGATAGGCTCCAGCACGCCCCGCGACCCTTGTGGGGAAAAGCGGATCGGAAAATGGATGGATGGATATTGATTACTACTAAACTAATGCTTTACTATTGTTTGCTAAAAATGCTCATGTCTCGCTACTAACTTAAGCTGTATGCTATGTGATCATCCGCACTGTCATTGAAATTCCTCACAAATAAATAAATAAATGAATAGATAGATAAATAATCACCTCACCTTGATCGGAGCTAAAATGGACTTTCATGCTATATGCTATACAGCTGCTAGTTCAAAAATGCGACCATCAGCCAACTGACACGTGGTTAATTTTCTGGTTTGTAAAATTATGCACTGCTGTTGTTAGCTCAAAATGCTAATGTCATGATAGTAATATGAAGTCCAAAAAGCTGTGATAGGCCATGAATCAAATCACTGAGCTCCAGAGAGCGACCCATTCTTTCACAAATGTTTGTAGAAACAGACTGCATGCCAAGGTGTTTGGTTTTACACACCTGTGGCAGTGGAAGTGATTGGAACACCTGATTCAGATTTTTTTGGATGGGTGAGCATATATGATATACTGTAGTGTATATGGGTCATTCAAAACAAATCATCAGGCAACAATAAGTGTGTGTGCGCATGTGTTTATATGTGTCTGTGTTTACGAATGTGTGTAGATGCAAAGAGTACACCTACCCGTCAGATCTTCCCCAGATTGGCCTCATCTTCATCTTCGTCAATGAAGCCCTGTCTGTCATCCTTCGCTCCATCCACTCAGCTGTCAATCACACACCTGCCCACCTGCTCAAGGAAATCATTCTGGTTGACGACTGCAGCGACGACGGTACGGACAAACAAACACGTACCTAAATGCCTGCAAGAAAACAGTCAAAATGAGCATTGAGAGGGGACCGATGTATCAAAACAAATCAAAAACATAACAGAGAACAATGACAGTAAAACAAGCAGGTCACCTGACTTATGAAAGTTCTCGCTTGCTTGATTTTTTTTGCCTTGTGTTGTGTAGTGAATTGATCGGGGTACCCCATTCCCTGAAAAGAATACAACTCGCATGGTGAGATTGGTGAGGGAATACTCCGCTGACACAGGCTAAACAAAAAAAGAGTTTTCTTTTTCTAGCAAGTAAAAGTACAGAGTCCAATGCTGCAGCAGTTGAGAGAGAGGCACAGACGATTTGGTCACTGTCCTGTCCCGCCTCAAACACATGCATGGAAGGCCGACAAGCTTAACTCACTGGATCAATGTCTTTATTTTCCAATATGGTCTTATCCAGTTTCTAAAAAGAGTGGTGTTTCCATAGAAACCTTTCTGAACCAGATGGATGAAGACCTCTTATGTTTATTTTTTCTTTTATACTTGTGTCCTGATCACTGTTTCTTTAAGGCTGTTTAGTGGTTTGACGATTGTGGTAGTGTCTTAATAACTACAACCTAACCTTTTTCAGGTGACTGCACATTTGCTTTATGACTAGACGCCTACGGATGGGATCACACTTTTTATTTTTATCATATCAAACAGATACTTAAGTTGCCAGTGACAAAATATCGCTCCACCAAAACATGTGTCAGGCACAAGTTCTTAATACAGTTGTGGGGTCACTCACAAAATTAATTAAACTCGGCCAACCATCTTTTGACTAAAACTACTTCAAGCATACTTTCATTTTTTTGAAACAAAAGCCCCCCAGATTCATCGTTAGACCCATACCAACGTGCGTAACAACGAAAATGCTTTTGTTCAGCGATCCCCGGCGAGTGACGTCATTTACAGAATGCCGAGTCGCCAGTATTGTACTGCATTGTTGATTGTCCCGTTAATTGCTCGATGCCATTACTATCGAGTTATTTGGCAAAATGCCTGGGCGCTGAGTGGCGATGCACTGTTCACAAAAATTATATAGATAGTACAGGAAAGGACAGCAAGGCACAGGACAGATCGGGAGAGCATGGGAAAGGAGGGAACAGAACAGGTAAAGCGAGCCAAGGCGTACTATACTTAACTACAAAGGAGGGCAGGCAGTCCTACATAGCTTGTGAGGAAGACATGAAACAAGTTGCAAATAGGACAGGATAGGATGGGAAAGGTTGGGACAAGACAGGACAGGAAGTGTCCAGAGTTGATGTGTTAGCGCAGTCATCATGAACCGACACGCTAACAGCATGCCAAGTCTCTGATGGCAGATGACAACACGCAGAGGTCAAGTGACATTCAGCAAAACCGGCGTTTTGACATAAGTACTCAAGGTTTGCCTCACTTTGTGGTGTGCTCACAACAGCTTCAGCATACTTTCATCTTCAACCGGATCAACAAATTTGTCTTTTTAATGACCATCACTCCCTGGCTGAAATTAGACTTCATTGGCCCCAAGTGTCAGGTTGTTCATGTGATGTGTACACAATCTAATCTAAGCAAAAGAAATGTTTCAATCTGATTTCCATAATGGTGTTTTTCTTCCCCTTCACAAAACCGCAAGAAAACTTGTCTTGGAGCAGCTCATACAAGGACAAATGTCTTGAGAAGTGACATCTGGTGCCAACAGGGGGCGCTGTACTTTGCCAATAGAAGATGATTTTCCGCTTGCCTGTTCTGTTGCAGAGCAACTGAAAGGCCCGCTGGAGGAGTACGTGAATAAGCGCTACCCTGGTTTGGTCAAGATTGTCAGGAATCAAAAGAGGGAGGGTCTGATTCGATCCAGGATTGAGGGCTGGAAGGTGGCCACCGCCGAGGTGACAGGAATCTTTGATGCCCACATGGAGTTCACCCCCTTCTGGTGAGGACATCAAATTACTTTTGTGTACCATCCGTCCAAGAAACGCCTCCCTTGTTCCATCAGGGAAAAATCTGGTTGTAAATCGTACACTGAAACCCACTGAAATTCTGTTGTAATACCAAAACAGCAGTACTTAATAAGACACGTCAAGAGTTTCTGAGATGAGATTCCACTAGAAAAACAAACCAGGCGATTGTAAAACATTAACAGTAACCCATTGCAAATCAAAAGGGCAATACCCTGCGAGGCACATTCACGTCCAATAAATGCCTCCCACTTACCCATCGGAAATCTGTTGCTAACCAAAAAAGCAGCACCTGACGAGGGACGCAAATGCTCTCAGATGATGTGTGAAGTGACTCATCCACTGAAGACAAACACCTCCCTCAGATGACTACCTTGTTCCCGCCAGAAGAAAATTGATCTTAACTGTAAAGTGGTCACTGAAAGCCATTGGAACTCTGTTGCCAATAGAAAACAGGAGCACTCACTGAGACATAAAACCAATGTCTCAGATGAAGTACAATGTCGTATAAAAGACAAAAATGGGTCGTCTGCATGATCCTAACAGTTCTTGGATGCTGTCATGCGGACATTACAGTCAAGAGTTAAAGTCTGTTGCTAACCAAGCTATGTAATTGCTCCCCATCTAGGGCTGAGCCGGTTCTGGCGCGGATCAAAGAGGACCGCACAAGGATCATCTTGCCTTCCATCGACAACATCAACCATGATACCTTCCAGTTGGTCTCCTACGGACAACCGGCCCATGGCTACGACTGGCAGCTGTGGTGTAAATACATCAACCCCTCAATTAATTGGAAGGCCCTGAAGGATGACTCTGCCCCCATCAGGTGGGTCACAACGTGTAACTCATCCATCCTTCATTAGAACGGCTTAGCGACAATATGACTTCTCGGAATGCCTGGAAACAAGAGGTGCAAGGGGTACTTCCAGGTGGAAGAAAACTGATTGACTACCATTAACCTGAACTGAAACCATGACAAAAACTGTTTGTGGTTGCCATGCCAGTTAGGATGTATGTAAGAATGGGGATATGTCTGACGTCATGTTGAAACGTAATATAGAAAACGTTCTTGTTAACCTGTTTCTTTGGGTCATTTGACAGAAGTCCCGCCATGATTGGCTGCTCCTTCGTGGTAAACCGAGTCTACTTTGGGGAGCTAGGCTTGTTTGACCCTGACATGGAAGTCTACGGGGGAGAGAACGTGGAACTAGGTATCCGGGTTAGTATCCCTTAAGGTTTCATCACCCGCCCCCCTCCCCCCAAAAAACTCTCAGGACAATTATACAATAGCTGGTTGGCAGCAAGTACTAGAAGCTAATGCAGTAGTCTACATCCATGCGCCATCTTCTCAAACATCACAAACAAGTTGGACCGAAAATATGAAAAGCACAGAAGCATTGCTCACCAGCGGCTAACACAAAAGCTAGCAGCCAGCACAAAAGCTAACGTAGAGGTCGACATTCATTCAGTGCTCCTTCATGTCAAACATCACAAACAAAATGGACTGCAAATTTTTGTCATTTTAAAATGTTTATCTTCATGAGGTGTTCATTTTTTGGACATTCCAATAACGTGAACGTTTTTCAAAAATGACAAAAATGGACATACTGTACGTGATTTTCACAGGAGAGCAACAAAATGTGAAAAGTATACGGCAACTAGCAAGCCAGTCTAACTTAGCGGCGAACACAAAAGACAGCTATCAATTTGCTCACACAAAAGCTAAATTTGTAGTCATCATTCACTCCGTGCTGCTTCTTGTCAAAAATCACAAACAATATGAACTAAAAAGGTGAAAAGCATATCACAGCAAATAAGCCAGTCTAACTCGCCAGTAGCTAACAAAAAATTAGCTATCTAGTGGCTAACAGAAAAGCTAACTCAACTCAACTAATCTTTAATTATACACTATCTTTACACTGTCACAACAGCTGCACATTTTAGTCGACATTCATTCAGTGCTGTTTTATGTTAAGCATCACAAACAAGATGGACCGAAAATGTGAAAAGCATATGGCATAGCAAGTCAATCTAGCTAGCTAGTGGGTCAATTTTTTTGTAATATTTTGCCCGACTGTGTCCCCTGCAGGTGTGGCTGTGTGGTGGCAGCATGGAGATGCTGCCGTGCTCCCGCGTAGCTCATATCACGCGCTTCAAGAAACCTTACTTGGAACAGTCCCTGGGGGTCCTCATGCGGCGCAATGGGATTCGTGTGGCTGAGGTTTGGTTAGACGAATACAAGCGCAACTTCTACATGGCCTGGAACATTCCAATGCAGGTAACTCTCACACATATATTTCAATATAAATACACTACTACCACAAACTTTGGAATATTTAACTTTGGGGTGAGATTTCAGATTGAGCCTAAAATGCAATAGTACCGTTTTGCTCCCCAAAGCCCAACATCTCTCAATTTTTGGGAGTAGTGTTATTTGTTGGTGTTTTAACTAAGCAAATGCCTGCTGTAGCCACTATGGGGGATGATTTTGTGATGGCCCAATATTGAAATTTGACTGACACATATCCACCAATCCCCTGACCCTCGTGAGGATAAGCGGGTCAGAAAATGGAATGACAGATGGTTATCCACCAATGGCGGCCCAGTAGGTCGACTGGTTTGCGTGTCAGCCTCACAGTGCAGAGGTGCAGGGTTCGATTTTGTCTCCGGCTTTCCTGTGGGGAGTTTGCATGTTCTCCCTGTGTCTGTGTGGGTTTTCTTCGGTTACTCCGGTTAACTCCCACATTCCAAAAACATGCGTGGCAGGTTAACGGAACACTCTCAATTGTCCCGCGGTGTTATTGAGAGCACGAATGGCTGTTCGTCTATATGTGTCCTAACAAAATGTTTAGGGAGTGCCCCGCCAATTGTCCAGAGACAACTGGGATAGGCTCCATCACACCCGTGATCCTCGTGAGGATAAGCAGTGCAGATAATGGATGGACGAAACCAAGTTTATTTCTTGGAATTCTCTTTGATCATGTTTTCAGTTTTCTACAAGAAAAACATGCAGCAAGAACAATTGTGGTTCTTTTGGTGTGGGCTGGAACGGATTCATGGCATTTCCGTTCATTCTTATCAAAGGCAGCTGAATCATCCGTCTGTTTTGCACACGCAGTTCAAATTTGAGAACAAAATCTACAAAGTTTGTTTTTTCAGGACACCTGGAAATGAGCCTACAAATATCCATTTCAAACAAAAAGACCTCCTGTGTCTTTTCAAGCATGGCTTTTTGATACTTCTTTGGAGGGGGCTAAATAATTACTTTTAGAGTTTGGTGTTGTCCTCTGACAACATTTAGTTTGAAAGATTGAAAAAGTCAATGATCTAAAGCAGGTGTAGGGAACTCCGGTTCCTCGAGAGCCTCATCCTGCCTTTTTTTAGGACCCTCCCTACTCCAACACACCTGATTTACTCCACCCACCCCTAAAAAAATTAAAAAAACAAAAACATCTGCAAATAAAGAGTTTAGAAATTGGTCATATACTTTATTCTTTCAATTAGAGTTGTTGCAAGTGATGCTATGTCTGTGAAATACTAACTAGACGGGATATGCGCTTTAGGGTCATGGTATCGATTATGGAAACATCACTGAGAGGGTGGAACTCAGGAAGAGACTGCAGTGTAAGAACTTCAAGTGGTACCTCGACAACGTTTACCCTGAGATGAAGACGCACGAAAGCACCATCTTGTACGGCACCGTGAGTCCCCATACCTCAATTTGGTGTCATCCATCCGTCTATAAAATATGTGGTTCCAATTTGGTAGCAATAGGACAGAATCTCTTGAACAAGTCTGTCCTTCAAGAGCCCCTAGATATGGCCAAAATGGCCACATTGAACCAAAATGTCGGACTTCCTGTGTTTTTCTGGTATGGCTTCTTTGGACTTTTTTGGTGAGTCTACTCATGGTAGACATGTCTACCAATTTTTTGTGAATTAATCAAACATATTGGGGGCTGAATTATTAATTTTTTTAAAATGTGGTTGGCAACACAAAATTGAGCCTAACGTGGTCAGTTCTAGTACATAGACATACCTACCAAATTTTATGAGACTTAGTCAAACCAGCTTCAGTGGCTTTAAAAAAATATATTTATTTTTAAGTGGTTGGGCGCAACTAGAAACATTTGAGCCTAAAACGGACAATTCAAATCCGAATGGTAGACGTCTTGTGTCTTTTCCGGTATGGGTTTTTGAGACTTTTTTGTGGGTCTATTCATGACAGACATGCCCACCACATTCTATGTCGCTAAATCAAATTGGCTTTGGGGGCTACATTTTCCATTGCACACGGCCAACCCAAATTTTGGGAGTCACATCTTGAGGAATTGTCTGGCTGTTGTTGATGGCTTAGAGATGAAAAATGGGTATATTTATCATTTCAGATGTACAACTGGAAGGTTGACAAACTGTGTTTGGACCAGGGTGAAAAGGTGGACCATGCCGCCATCATGTTCCCCTGCCATGGCTATTCTCCACAGGTAGGCTCCTTATATAAACAACACTCCCTTACCTACAAAGAGAAGTTGAAGCACATTCAAAAATAAAAGGTAAAAACATAAGTGATGGCGATGCGAGAGTGTTACTGCTTTGAATGGGACGTCACTCTTGCTGTCATACAAACATAAAAACAAATAAATGAATGAGAATTGCCCCGAACACCAGCTTTATCGATTGCCACCAACTCGGTGGAGATCTCTGTTCTGACAGGATGCACCAAAAAGTCTCAAGGATCCGCTCCCCAAATTGTATCGGAATTAGATAGTCTGCAATTGTGGTCTGAAGCAGCAATTTTAGATTAAATTCCTCAGTTACACCCCCCGGAAAGAGAAAAAAATTATCCCCTGAAAACAGTTTCACCGAGCGACACAAAATTGAGTTGCTATGTCTATCCTGACAGGATGCACCAAAAAACCTCAAGGATCTCTGCTCCAAATTGTATAGGAAGTCATCCACATGGTTTGAAGCATTTATTTTGGGTGAAATTCTTCAGCAACAGCCCCTGGAATGTGAGAAAAAAAGAAGTCCCCTTTACCAGTGACATCAAATTGGATAGACATGTCTATCTTGACAGGACTCACCTAAAAGTCTCAAGGAATCATGCTCGGTGTTATGGGTAGCAAAGGTAATGGCGGCAGAGGATCCAAAAGCGAAGGAGATGGGGGAAGGATGGGTGGGTGCAGGGTCAAGACAAACAAGAACAATTGAGTATGCACAAAAATGGCAGCATGTGCACTAGCAATGGCCTAGATACCAATCATAATGCGAGAATCATCTGGCACCCGCTTGCAGATCAGCAGAGCTTTTATACACCGCAGGTGATTGCTGATCAGCTGCAGGTGTGGGAGCACCCTCCGGCCCAGCCTGGTAATTAAAGGGAAAAAGACACAGAAGGTCCCTGGAAGTGGACTCTCCAAAATAAAAGTGCAGAAGGAAGAGGGTCTGTGATGACGCATGACACTCCGGATTGAAAAGGAAGTCAACTGTTTGGTTTTGAAGTATCGATTTAGGGTCAATTCTTTTGGAACACAACCTGGAAAGTAAGAAAAATATGATGTATCAAAAAGGCTGAAGCACCCACGCCCCAAAGTGAACAGATACCAGCTGTTTTGTTTTGAAGCAGATATTTTGGGTGAATTACTTCAGTAAGGAACCATGGAAAGTAAAAAAAACAAAACAAAAAAAAAAAAAACAAAAAACAAAGAAACAACGTCTCTCTTTGGCAACATGCCATGACAGGACCTCAATTGCTCCATTTGAGCACTTCCAAGTCCTTTTTGGGTGGTGGCCCTGTCGGGCCAGTATTAGCTCAGTTGGTGTGGCCCTGCGCAAAGCTGGTACTGGCTCTTGAGATTCTTGATATAATAGGGTCAGTTTCAATAATTATTTCATATTAATCTTTTTACTGTAATATTTAAGCCTTTAAGAAAACATTGCTTCTGTGTAATTATCTCAATTTGTTAATATGATGTATTTTTTTCCAGTATGGAATGAATAAAACTCATTCCAAAAAATGGCATTCAATATTTAATATTTAAAAAGCAAGAACGTTAATTGTATTTATGAAATTTGTACTGGCCCGGTCGGGCCGGCGTCAGTGAACTTCGGGTGGCCCGACACAGTCACGTGGTCATTAGTCAAGGCACCCATAAATGATGATGATATGACTTTGCCATATTGGGCTGAGCAGCCAGAACAGAGGCCACTGTTGGGTGAAGATTTTGAATCCAACTACCCATAGTGATGAGTCAAAGTGACCAAGAAATGGATTACCGGGTTCAGTATAGCTGTGATTAAGAATAATACAAATTTTACTACTTTAACCCTTTCAAGGACAGCGGTTACGACAGTGGACAGCTTATCATAGTATCAGGTTACAGGGTGCATGAAAGGGGTAATTTTTTTTCCTTGTTCAGGGATCCACACACCGAGTCAGCAGCATGTGTTTGGGACATTTTTTACAGCGGATGACCTGCTGGACACACACTACCAATTTTTATCCTGGTTTGGGACTGGCAGTCACCTGGAATCGGTATACAGTGTCAAGGGTCTTGCCTACGAACCTCAACTGGAACCCAGATGTTACATTAAATTTCCATTAAATTCAATTCACAAAACTGCAAAATGGCGACCAGATACAGCTCGCCACCCCGCCCAAATCCAATCTTCAACCCCATCTCCTGGGGTCAAAATGATTAACCTATTCTTGGATAAAAGTAACCCAATCTGCCCAAAATTCTCAGCTACCACAAAAAAGAAAAACAATGGAGCATTTATTTTAGTGTGCATATCTTCTCGTTTTGCTCTTCACATGCCCTCATTCCATTTTGTTACGACAGTTGGTGCGCTACACCAAAGACAGCCAGATTTTCCTGGGTCAGCTGAGCAACAGCTACATAGACACCCGCTGCCTGGTGGACATTCTCCCCAATGACGCACCGCAGCTCCTTGACTGCAACACGGTGTCTAACATCAGGCAGACCAAGTGGATTTTCAGTCAGGTGACACCTTGTTCATGTGACGTCCAATCTGAGACTTCAGAGAGTCTGAAAGTTTAACTGAAAACTCAAAAAAGAAATTCTCTCTGTTAACCTTGTTCCCTATGCAGGGCAATTCGGTCCAAAACTTGGCCACGAAACGCTGCATGGAGGTGACGCCCATTCCAACCAACCCGTTCTACAAGGTGGTGATGCAACGCTGCTCGGGCCAGAAGTGGAACTTGACTATTCCCGCTGTACGAGTCTGAGTTGTCGTCATCTGCTTCCAGGACTCTCCGCAAAGCGCCCGGTGAACTCGCTGGATCGGGCTCATTTTAAAATGCGAGTGACAGTTCTCACATTAGCCAGTAGGAGGCGATCCAGGGCATTGATTGTCGTCTTTTGTATGTGTCGTAGTGTTCTTTGCGTATTTATTGCATGTGCCCTTGATATCAAAACGGCACATTTAACCATTTCTGGGCTTTATTAACTTTGAAGCCAGCTTTTAAATATTTTTTTGGCACATCATCTCTGGTTTTTAAGATTTTTTTCGGCTTTAATTTCACTTTCTCAGTGCTTACAATTTATATGCTGGAGTTAGCAACAGTACTACTGTGGGGGGCGGGGGGCGTCATATGTCTAACCAGATATATAACCAAAAAAATGCCATTTTATATCTGAACAAAATACATGTGTACATGCAAAATACGTATTCGTAATATATTTCATTTTTCGAAAAAGATCTCTCAATACATGTATCAAAAATCCACTCTCCTATCCCAACAACAAAAGGGATTGAAGCAAACAACAAAATAAATAAAACACTGATTCCCCCCGCCTCTCAGTGCAAAGGGCTCTCTTGCATAGAAATTACCATTCAAGGATGTCACAAAACTTTTCAACAGCAAAACAACGATAATTTTGTGTTTTTTGTTGTTGTTTTTTTTTTGGGGGGGTCACTAAAATCAACTAATTTACATTTTTAATACTATTGAGGTCCTATGTTTCTGCTGCATGTCATGCCAATCCGCAATTTCTTTTTAGGCCTGTATATGACAGTATAAGAACCACTGTAAGGTCAACTAAGACAAGGATTGTAAAGGCCTGGATATAAATCAAAAATATCAATAGTGTATAAAAAAAATGTGAAATATTTTTCATTGTCAATTGTTCTCGTGTTCTAATATGTTCAAAATGTATTTAAAAATTTGATCAAAGCTAATGTGATTAGTACCCTTATAATATTTTGTTGAAGCAATGCAAATAAAACACTGTTGAAGTTGTTTAGCGGTCAGCTATCATTTCACTGTTTTTTGTTGATGTTTTAAGTTTTTGCCATGGTATTGTTTCTTTTTTTATTTTTTGGTCTTCTTTTAAATTATATAAAATAACTTGACCTGTTTAGTCGGCCACTGAGTGTTGCAAACAAAGTTCTTGTTCCAGCAAAATATTTTGCAAATATATCTTGAGTCACCGTCAATCATGACATCATATGAAACTACAATTGAGACGTATACATCACCAAATATGGTCATGCTGTAACGCACCAAAAAAGGGTGCGACGAAAAGCTGTGGTGGTGAGACCAACTGAAAAAGTTGGTCGCAGTAGTGCTACCAGCGCAAAAGGTAAGTGGAGACTGTAGAACCCTGTCATGTCCAAAATTACATAGCATTTGCAGTTACACCACTTTCATCATTTCGTTGGTCTCAGAGCATAATTGCTGCAGTCATATTTAATATGTTTTGGGAAAACCCGAAAAAACAAAATTTTAGAAAACACATTGGTATTTTTTAATTGATATTGTAGCCAAGCGCGCAACCAGATGTGTGAACAAGTAAGCAAAAGGGAAAAGACCCTTCTTTAATAGTATACATAAAAGTGATTTTTGGCAAATGTGCCATGACAGTCATTTTTCCTCTTACTTTTATCCATGCAATCTAAAATGTTTGATATATGGTAAAATTACGGATTCAATATGTATCAGTCAGTGTGTTCACTCATCACGTGCATTATCTGTGATTGCGCGTGCACGAGCGTTGCGGTTTGCTCGGCGCGCACGGAAGCTGCTCGCGTGCACGCGCAGTCTCAACATTACCATCATCACCGGCGACGACAGAAGCGAATTCGAACATAACCACAAGGATGTACACGAACATAATGTCGGTGGCACCGGTACGGAGTAGAAAACATCTGCTGTCCGTCTGAGAGCGCTCATCCGCGGCATGCCTCGTCGACGCCTCCCCGGTCAAAGACGCCGAACCGTGGAGCCCGACCACGTAGATTCATCCATGAACCCCGATGGAGCATCTTCACTAAAATCACCATTTATCATCTTGTTTCCTTGCTGCATCCCCACGCTCGCCGTACCGAGTTCTCCTCGTGTTCTGCTAGTGGCCGGAACCCGAACCCGCCCTGGCTGTCCATGGCTGTACTGAGAAGATGGAGGCTTCTGCTGGTGCTCAACGTGCTCGCGGTGGCCGGCATCATGACGCTGTGGAGCCGCTGTAGCAGCGCGCGCAAGCCAACGGTCCGCGTGGACGCTCCGGAGGGTTGGGACGCTGCGGACGCCGAGCGCAGGAGGCCAGGCCGGGCCAACGGAACCGCCACCGTCAGCCACCAAGTGCTACTCGACAGGCTCAGCTCGTTGGAGGACGTCGTGTACCGACAGTTGAACGGTAACAAATTGCAACTTTTTGGCCATTTAATAAGCACTTTTTTTGCCATTAATAAATAAATAAATAAATAAACAAATAAATAAATAAGCAAATTTGAAGAATTTTTTAAAAAAATGTAGAAATTGAATGTAAATGAGCAGAGTGAAGTGCATGACGAATTGTAAAAACTCAAGTTAACTTTCAGAATCGAGAAAAGAGTTGCCAAACATGTTTTAAAATGTCTTAATTTGTGATTTTTTTTGTTGTTGTTGCTGGGAGCATTTGAAAATGTGTCTGTTATTAATAACTTCATATATGTTGCATGAGATGAACAGCTTGAAGTTGGCATATTGTGGAGGGAAGAAGACAAGATCTGAATTATTTATGGTTTGGGAATTGTATTATTTAAAAAAAAAAAACTTAGCACAATGTCCCGTATGAGCTGAATATTTTGACGTTGGTCAAAAAATGTGGAAAGGCTGGTAAATCAAATATATAAAAATTGGCTTTAATTTTGGTGAATTTTACTGGTTTATGGTTTCAGTTCAATTAAACAAGGAGGTAATATGGTTTGTAAAATATATTTTTAAATTATTTTTTTGAATTTAGGAGTCAGAAAAAGCTTCTGGACATGTTCTGAATGTTTTCAAGAGTTTAAAGTGGCTCGTTTAAAATGGGTTTGGCTCGTCAAGAAATGTGGAAGGAGGAAGTAAATGTGTATATCTCTGAATTTAGAAATTTTATTGTGAGGATTTGGGAATTCTCAAGATGTCCTGACCAAACTAGATATTTTGAATCCGTCAAAAATATGGAAGGTTGGTATATGTGTAAAATCCTTATTAATTACGGATTTTTATGGTGAAAAGTGGGTAATGTTGCTTGCTGAATGTTGTTTAGCACCTAAACATTTCCTGGTGAATGGGGTCTACACCCAGACTATTTCGATGACAGGTTTCCACACCCACACTTGTTGGAACCTCAGGGATATGGTTTTCCCATGCAATGAAAGGTTTCAACACTTTTCCAACGAAACACTTCAACACCCACATTTTTCACCACCAAGACTTCCAATGAAAGTTTTCGGCGCTCACACTTTTTGAATGGAATGTGGGTATTTCAGCACCCAAACTTTTCCCGCTGGAAGGGTTCAACACCTACCTAGACTATTCCAATGAAAGGGTTTACCCCCACTTTTTTTTAATCACACTGACTCGGATGTGGGTTTTTCAGCATGCAGACTTGAAAGGTTTCAACACGCAGATCTTTCTACCTGAAAGGGAGTGATAGCAACAACACGCACACCCACGGGTGATGTGGGTCTTTCAACACTTACACTATTATCGTGAAAGATTTCAGCACCAACATTTCTTGTTGCACCCGCAGAGACTTTTGGTGTTTCAACACCCACATCTTTCCTGGTGAAATGGTTCTACACCCATACTTTTTGTGAGCAAGATGCGAAGATAATAATTTCCTAATATGGTGTTTTGAGGTCTGTCCAAATCTTTGGGCCTTATCGAGGGTTTCGGGGGCTGGGGAGCCGGTGGCCTGGCCGCCAGCCTTTCTCCGGGTGAGGTGAGCGAGGCCAAGTACTTGAGGGACAAATACGGCTACAACGCCTACCTGAGCAACACCATCTCTCTGGACCGAACCATACCAGACTACAGACCCGGCAGGTCAGTGCACGCACACACACAAATTCCCCATGTGGGGCGAGGGTTCATCGATATACCACTGACAGATATCAAAGTAATTGAATCAGATATCGATATACAAGCATCAAGTATCAACACCCTCATATCAGGTATCGATACACTAACATCGGATAGCAATACATCCTCATTAGTTATCAATACATTTATATCATATAACGTTACAGTACATTAAACAAATGATACACAGGCACTGATACACTAGTGTCAGATACCAATAAATTAGGTAGAACATAAAGTCAATAAGATACATGAAAATAAATACAGCATTCCTCTGACATAAAACTCATAACCTCAGAGCACATCTTCACCAAAGAAACAATGTGAATTTGAGTCACAACCTTCATACCTGCGCACTTCCAGATATCATTGAAAGTCACTCATGTTTTTACTTTGCTTTTGGGTCATGGCGTCAGAGTGAAGAACCCCTCTTGACCAATTAGCACTGGTGTCCATTCAAAGGCAGCCTCGTTCTTGCTCAGTCAAACCTGAAAATTGGAAACACCATGTTCCAAAACGGTGTCATTGTGTACGCGGTACATACACATGTAAAGTTTTGAGGATAAACGCAACACGTTTTTGTCATAGTTTCAGTTCATATCAGCAGTAGTCACTTGTGATCTGCCAGCAGGAAGTACCCTCACTGTCTATTGTTTACAAACATTCTGAAATGTCCTATATGCATCTTGTTTGTACCAATAGTTGCAGAAATGTCAGCCACCTACGAGATCTCCCCCAGATGGCCTTGGTCTTCATCTTCGTCAACGAGGCCCTGTCCGTCATCCTACGCTCGGTCCACTCGGCTGTCAATCACACGCCGGCCCACCTGCTCAAAGAAATAATCCTGGTGGATGACCACAGCGACGACGGTACAACACTTACCTGACCTTCGGGAGTTTCTAGTTCTATGAGTACCAAGACGTAAAAGTCGAGCTGGAAATAGTTGGGAATGGGGCTGTAGTGGAGATCAATTTTGAGGTATTAACATTAGCACTCCAAGTAACAAGAAGTAAAAATCTACCTGCATTTTCGTGGGTGGTGGGGAAGTGCTGCTATCGTTCTTCAACAATATATTAATTATCATGCTATTTCTGCGAGCAACTGTTTACTAATTAGGAAAACTTCCTCATCAGGACACACATGCTAAAAGTGGTGAATGATGATGATGAAGAGGAGGAAGTGAGTGCGTGCAAGCGTTTTGGCCGAGCAGGAAACTTCTGACGAGTTGAGTCACAGATCAAAAGGCGCTGGCCTGTTGTTTAGACTCCGAATGGAATTTCACTTTAAGTTTATATCATGATCTAATGTTAGTGGATACGTATTGATCCTATAATGTTGATACCTGTATCGATACCCCATGTCAGTTGTCACTAATACTTGTGTAGAGATATCTAGTGTGTCAATACTTGATGCAGCTGTTATTAATGAATTGACCCCCGATTCTGGTGTATCGATATCTGATGTAGTGGATGGTCTTACAATGCTAGAATATTGAAAACCTGCTCGTGGTATCGATACCTGATGCTCGTCTATTACTTCCTGATATTACGTAGGGATAGCTGATGCTAGTGTATCAATGCCCTGATTTTAGTGTGTCAATATCTGATCCCAGTGTATGGCTATCTCATACTATGGCAACTTAACGATCGTTATTTTGTGTTCCAAAAGAATGATGCCATTTGTGGTTTGGGGCGTGTCTCCAACTTGGAGCATAAATAGTTTTTTTCCACAGCAACCCAGGCTGGCGCAATCCTAACCAAGCCTTGTTGCATAAACTGATGAAGTCTGTTTGGATCCGAGGCTTAATGTCTTCTTAGACAACCGGAAGAGACCCCTTGGGATTTATTCAATGCCCGATACCGGATGTAACGGTATCAATATAGCTGATGATAGTGTTTGGATAGCTAATGCTGTATTGCAACATTTGATAATAATGTGTCAATATCTGGAAGCGTATCAAGATCTGATACTAGTTGTGCATCGAGACCTGTTCTGAGGGAATCGATATCAGATGATAGTGTATCAACCTGATAAAGGTGGGTTGATAGATGATGCTTGCAGTGTCTCAACACCTGATGCGAGTGTATGGATATCTCATGTGAGTGTAGTGATACCTCATGTTAGTGTATGGCTATCGTCATATTAGAATGACCAGTACCTGTAATGAGAGCTGGTGACAGTTGGGGTTGCCACTCTCGTCTACATTTGTTGTCTTTAATGTGAAGAAGCTGTTTATGTTGTTTTGTTGCTGTGTTGCAGAGCAGCTGAAAGGACCTCTTGAGGACTACGTGAAGAGGCGGTACCCCGGTCTGGTCAAGATCGTCAGGAACCACAAGAGGGAGGGTCTGATCCGGGCCAGGATCGAGGGCTGGAAGGCGGCCAGTGCTGAGGTGACGGGATTTTTTGATGCCCACGTGGAGTTCACACCCTTCTGGTGAGGCATTCAAATGACTCTGGTGTATTGTCCCTTCAACAGAATGAATATCCTGCTTCGTCACTAGCGCGGAATCCCCCCGCAATGATGCATTGTGTGTTTACCTTCACATTTACTCACCAGGGCTGAGCCGGTATTGGCCCGAATCAAGGAGGACCGCAGGAGGATTATACTGCCGTCCATCGACAACATCAAGCATGACACCTTCGAGGTCGAGCGTTACGAGAATTCAGGTCACGGCTACAGCTGGGAGCTGTGGTGCATGTACATCAACCCACCAAAACAGTGGTGGGACGATGGCGACGTGACGGCGCCGATCAGGTGGGCACGACTGACGTCAAGACCAGGTCACATCAGTATCAATTCATCCAATATAGGCAACGGGCTTTCACTTGGACGGCACTGTTCTACTTTTGGTACTCAAAGTGCTTTAACACCATTTCTTTATTTACCTATTGATGACGCCGCATCGGAAGCTACTGGGGGTTCGGTATCTTGCTCAAGGACACTTCAACATGGTCACAAGGATTGAGAATCAAATCCTCAACTTTCGGGTTGGGAGATGACCACTCTACCACTGAGCCATAGCGCCCCACAATAACATCCAATAATATAGACCATCCAAGACCACAACACAGTCCAATAAATGTCCACGAGCTCATCGCTAACATATAATGGGGTATTCCATAGACAGACGAATGGAAATCAGCACTGATGTTACAATCACAATAAACGTTCAAAGAACTGCTACTTGAACACAGATGGTTTTCAAAATCCGCGTTCTACGAAACGATTGCGTGCTTCGTTGTGACAGGAGTCCCGCCATGATTGGCTGCTCCTTCGTGGCCAATCGTCTCTTCTTTGGCGAACTCGGGCTGCTGGACCCTGGCATGGACGTCTACGGCGGGGAGAACATCGAACTGGGCATCAGGGTTAGTGTATCGCCTCTTTCTGCTTCCGTTGTCTCAGTCTAAATAGTACAGCGCTTCGTGCGTGAATGTTTATTATTACTGCACTTCATCATCCACACTGATGGTTACCAAGAGACAACGAATTAGAAGTCTTTCGCCATTAAAGTGTGGCATGACTACCCCCACCCTCCACCAGGTGTGGATGTGCGGAGGCAGCATGGAGGTGCTGCCGTGCTCCCGCGTGGCTCACATCGCCCGCGTGAAGAAGCCCTACAACAGCAACATCGCTTTCTACATGCGCCGCAATGCCCTGCGTGTGGCTGAGGTCTGGATGGACCACTTCAAGTCCAACGTCTACCTGGCCTGGAATATCCCCATGGAGGTGACGCCCACATCATCTACTGTCTTGTTCCAAAATGCACTTGAAGCTCCCACCTGATGTGATGTCACAACTGCTGCAGAATCACGGCATCGACTTTGGTGACATCTCTGAGAGGGTGGCGCTCAGGAAGAGTCTGCAGTGTAAGAATTTCCAGTGGTACCTGGACAACGTTTACCCTGAGATGAGGACGTATGGCAACACACTCTACTATGGTGAGGTGAGTCCATACAAAATGCATTTTCACCCATATCCTGTTGACGGGTTGCCAAAGGGAGACTATACACTGGTCTGGTCTACCGTAAGATTACAGCGGTACAGATAAAACTGACGTTTGCGAGCACTTGTCAGCAGGCAGATTTGACAGGCGTCATGCGCGAAAAGCTCAGCGACACCAAAACCACACAATAGCTGAACAAAGTATTTTATTCGTGTTTGTTCGTTTGTTTAAATGTAGTTGCAAATCATAAGATTATTGTGATCTCAAAATATTGAAATCAAATTATTTCTATATTCTGTGATTTTCCGTCGCTCAAAATATACGTCACACTCTCAGACAGGCCGGCAAATATCTGTGCAAAATATGCATTTCGAGTCCTGTCGGTCGGTCTTCGCCACCATGAACAATGTTCAAAACAAACACAGCTCACGCCTCACAGATGGCAGCTTCCAGTCCTGCGTAAAGATGAAGGTGACTTCCTACAGTTCTGATTTGTAGACGCTCTGAGCATAAGTTCAGGAGCAGAAGTCCCATTAACCAGGTAAAATAAATATTCAGGAAGTTAATTTGCAAATATCTATTTCATTGTTCGGTGAAATAGTGCTCGTTTTTTTCCCCATTGTATTGAGGTCAAGGCGCCGTTACTCCAAAAGCAAAAAGGATGACGGCATATGGTATTTTTGTTTAGTCGAAGTTCAGCTCTAGAAGTTTGCTCTAAGTTCAGCTTTTTAATTTATTTGAAAGATACCTTCAACTCAAATGCTGACCAACATTAGCACTCCCTAAACGATGTTAGCTAACATGCTAATCATAATGTTTTGTTAATTACTTAGTTGTTTTTTTTTTTTTTTTTTTTAGCATCTTGTTAGTCAAAAGTGTATCGTTTCAGATGCGCAACTCGAAAGCAAGCCACCTGTGTTTGGACCAGGGTATGAGGGAGAACCACACGGCCACCCTGCACCCATGCCATGGGTGGGGTCCCCAGGTAGGTAGGATGGCAACTTTACGTGCTTGGCAACCGAGTATCCTCTTGGGGGTGTCAACAGTTCTCACACTCTGTTCTGACGCAGAAATACTTGTATTAATAAAAATTACTGGTAAAAGTAGAAGTACTGTATTAATTGTTTAAGTAAAAAAGTAAAGAGTGTGAAATGCACTTCAGTACAAAAGTAAAAAAACGATTGCGAACAATAACACTATTTTGTCTAAGTGAGGAGTATAAAGCACAGATGAGGTACTTGTAGGTAAAAGTAAAAAGTCTGAAAACGGAATCCTGAACTACCGACGCCGATAAAAATATAGTTAAGTACTGTCACAATGCTGTTACCTTCCACCACTGGCATCATGTTCATGTCTCTCAGATAGGACGTTACACCAAAGAGGGTCATCTGTACCTGGGCCCACTGGGCAGCACCGGGGAGGACACTCGCTGTGTGGCGGACGATCCTGCCACCCAATTCCCGCAACTCCTGGATTGCGACAAAGACAAGGACGAACACCGCACCAAGTGGATTTTCACTCAGGTGACAGCTTCTTCTCATTAATGCTTACAGCCTCGTCAATCTCTTATACTGATAGCCTAGCTTCTTCTACTAGGCTACTACTTTTCATGAATGTTGAGCCCAGGGCTTGTGTAGTCTAAAATACCGTTAGCTTAGCATCTATTTCTTCTTCTGCTGCAGTTTTTATTTCTTCTTCTACTGCCATTTTTATCACCTCTCATGAAGGTAGATAGCTTGGTTTGTCTACAAAACTATTAGCCAAGCTTCTTTTATTTCTTCTACAACTACCACCACCACCTGTAATGCTGCCATCACTACAACTACTACTTGGCTTACTATGTCTAATACCGCTGATTCTACTCCTTCTCATGAAGTTAGAGAGCTTGCTTGGTCTACAAAACTGTTAGCCTAGCTTCTTCTCTTTCATCTACTACTCTCCACTGGTTAGCTGACTGACGGTAAATTAAAAACAGCAGCAGGAATAGTTGTGGGAGGCATCCCCATCTTGCTTTGCTCCCGTTACTAGGAACACTTGTGACTGTGTTACGCCTCTTAAACGTGTTATTTTTGTACAGACAGGGTGTACAATAGTAACAGTATGATTATTTCTATTTGGGTATTCCATTTTTGCTACTTTTAATTTATTGTGGCACGCTTAGAAACAAAGGTAGGCAGTCAGTGCTTTAAATATGATATAAAGGCGTGCCCTCAATCATTAGATATTTTGTACGACGACGAGATAGTCGGAATGAAGTGTTGTGAACGCACTGTGTTTAATGATTTCTAAATAGATCCGCGGGCTCGAAGGAACAAATGGGTGAGCTGAAGTAGCGGCCCAACAGTGTTTATCGACAGAACATACAGATTATCCAATCCAGGCCTGCTACTACGTCCACTTCTACTAATACTACCACTCCCTATATGATCATTAATACTACTTGTGAAGGTTGAGGTCATGTTTGGTCCACAAAAGTGATCTTCTTGGTTTTCCCCCTGTAGGGTGATTCCATGATAAACTCGGCCTCGGGCCGCTGCTTGGAGGTGGTGCCCGCCAAAGTGTACTTGGGCCACCAGGTGGTGCTGCAGTCCTGCTCCGGACAGCGGTGGACCATAAAGAACACCATGAAGGATATTGCAGTGTATGTTTAGCAGGGTCACTGCGGCTTCACACATTCAGATGATGACTGGGGATCCGTGGGGACGTCGGGGCCAGGCTCCGGGCCAGTGATGATCGCCTCAGATATTTAAGTTGGGCAAATACGCCAGGCGACTTCTACGAGGACAGTGAGCTGGGGAAAACTTGAAACTACACGGCTTATGATTTGGAAGCAGGTTTTTGGAGACTAGCATTCCCTAAACTTTTTGGGGGACTCCGATGAGTTTCAAGTATAGACATATTTTGACAAACCGCAATAGGAGTAATAATAATAATCACAAATAAAAACTATTGATTAAAAATACAACTTAACATTTGACTGAATCTTCAAAAAGCTTGAGGGTCATCTTGGGGGCTTCTTTTTTTTTTTTTATGCAGGGTGCTTGGGCTCCATGCGCCGGAGCACTTTTGATAGCTTCACTGCCTCATTTGCAAGCCTCTCGCGACATATTATGCAAAGCGGGTTTGGTGCGTGCCATTCAAACAGCAATAAACCCGTCCAGTATGACTGCCAGTATTGTTTCATTGTTTGGCCTGTTCCCATTTTTTAAAAAGCTCTCCAAACACATTTGGTTTGTTTTTTTTCTCACGTTGTTGCAAGCTTGGGGACTTACTTTGTTCCGTGTCGCATGACAAAGAGAAGCAGTGTGACAAACACAGAGGAAGGACCTGATTTTCAAAATAATACTGTTTTCAGACTCTTATGTTGAATAAAATACTTTTTGTTCAGTCTCTCTGTGGAATAACGTAGTTGAATAAAATTTGTATTCTTCTGTGGGTGAGGAGGATTTCTAGAGTGGATGTCGTAACCAGTTGCACGGAGATGATTGCGAGACGTAAAATCCAATTCAAAGGAGATGTATGAGGAACAAAACCTGCATCATCATCGAGATTTTCTCACAGATCATGATTAAACATTTGCTTGCATTGTCTTTGACTAAATTCACTAAACAAACGAACAGAAAAGTCATCGTCCCAGTGGCCATGTAAGATGCAAGATGTCTTGTCAACACATCTGTTTTTTTTAAATCATCTTACCGATTGAAGCGTCAATTACAACCTGCATTCTGTCTCCATTCCAAGCAACATTACCCCAAAAAAAAAAAAAAAAAAAAAAAAAGGAAGGTCAAAATGACCATTCTCGCCATTTTTTTTTCTGTTTTTCGAATGTCTACCTTGGTCAAATAACGTAGCAGGGTTGTTTTCCAAGTGGTGTCACTGGGATTTTTGCCACCCGGAAGTACGTGTGTCACCATGGTGGAAAAGTCTGTCATTCCTCATGTTTGTATGTCGACTACTTTTGACACGTTTCAGTGTATTAACGTGAATGATTCAGTCTTCCAGTAAACAAAGTACTTGATACCCTCGACCATCTTTTTGTGCCTAACTTAGCGGTGTAGCTTGTTGCTAAAAAGCATACAGACTAGAGTGGACTATGGATTTGGGACAGGGACCTGTGCCAAAAGGCGAAAATCTGGGCGTAATTGAAATCCCTCCACCAATAATGGCCTGTAGATGACAAAAGATAGCGGCAAAGAAGTACTTTCGTCTAAATGAAGCTCCTTCTCCCACTTTAACATCGATGCTTGGCACCAAAATGTGAAAGATGGCAGAAAAGCAACATTTAGTCTCAATGAAGTTCTTCAAATAACTTCAACATAGTTCCAAAAGCAATTTGAGCATTTAGTAAGTGACAATCTTGATATCCATCTTAATGTCACTGTACAAGTACCGGGAATGTCTTTGTCCTTTTAAGATAATTCAGTGCACTAGTAGGAAGACGACAGGGACACTACTTATGTTTTGTTTTTTTTCCCTACTATTAGTGCCAATTGTATGCCATTAAACATTATTAGTAAACTACTGTGCTGCACTAACGACTAGGCCCAACTATGTAGCAGGCATTTCTTATGCACTAGTAGCCTCCTGGAGCGACAAAATGACCACTAGTAGTTTTGCATCATCAGTTTTGCATCTGGATAGAAAAAGAAAGTAAAAAGTTAATGCTACGGGTGGGGGTCATGCTGTTTTTCCTTTTAAGCTTGTTTGGTATCGGGGGAAATAAAGCAACTCTCATCTGGAGGGAAAAAAATAACTTGTTTTGAACGTCTTTGTCATTTTGTGTGTGTTTTTTTTTTAAATAAGTGAATGGGGAAAAGATTGATTGAAATACTCAATTTTTCGCAAAACAATGAAGGGATTTTATTTTCAGGCCATATCGGCCGGTCTTATCTGTGCGCATGGGGGACTGAACTTGTGGCTCTTTGGTGGTCGCATATCACCTTCTGACCCATAAAAAATAAATAGAACCATATTGTTTGTATTGAAAAAACAAAGATTTATTGCATCTTGTACACATGTCCAGTATTTACACACTGAGGCTTGTTAAATATTACAATTTAAAGTCTACCTAAATGTGTTTGTTCAGTGTCGCACATGCAAAGTCTGTGTGTGTGTGTGTGTGTGTGTGTGTGTGTGTGTGTGTGTGTGTGTGTGTGTGTGTGTGTGATTGGTTAATTAATTGTGGTGAGGGTCCATGCTACTTGAGAGACACTCCAGTGTTTCCTTTCCCTGCCAAATGAAAAGCCCAGGGAATGGAGGCATGCAAACATTCCCGCAAGGTGTATTTTTCAAGATAGGAAGTTCCCCTGAATGGAACAAGCACACACCAAAACACTCAAGTGTGATTTCCTGTGATTTTCTGTACACTTTTTTAAATATTCTGTGTTTCAAAATAAACCGGATGCTTTGAAAATAAACTGCTGCAGGACCAGGGGTGGGCAAAGTATAAGGCCCGCTGTGTTCTTTCATTCATTCATTGTGAATAATAAAATGAAAGCAGAATTACTGCAGTTTAGTATTAAAATAAACAATTTTATTCATGCATTTACAATTTAATTATTTGTTTGAATAAATAATTGGTTAATTCATATTAATTACATTTTCATAAAATATAAAATGAAAACAATGAGAATGAATTATTTTATTACTAAAATACATTGCACATGCATTTGACATTTAATTATTCTTTTAAATACGTAATTGGTTAATTATAAATACAAGTGAAAAATAACATTAAAAAATGAGAATGAATTATTAGTTTGAAATAAATGATTTGACACGATTAATTATTGGTTGGCAATTCCTCCAAATTAATTATAAACAACAAATGCAGCGTAACTATTCCATGACTTTATAAAACTATTTACATATTTTACATTTTAACTAACATTTAATCTTATCTACAAATGACCTGGCCCATCTGTCTATTTTTAAAATTTTGTTTGCCCGCCCCTTGATCTTTCTCACTGGACACGTCGTTGGGTACACCATCTAAATAAAATTCAATACAAACAAAAACCAAATCTACTTATGATTTTCACTTCTTTTTTTGAATATAACAAAATGTTTATTATTGTGCTTGCACAAGTGCACTGCATCATAATGACAGTAATAAACACATTGTTCAATGAAAATCTCTGTTTTGTATTAGTAATGTCATGAGTGTATAAGCCAACACGCTGTTTGCGTGATACCCACTAGAGGGCGCGCTTGCACAAAGCTTGCTGGTCATCCGGTTTTGTTTCTTTTATGGCTTAGAACACGCATATCCGCCTCAGAGTGACGTCACCCGACGCAAGCGTGTTGCTGCAGTTGTGCAGTCAGAATTTTGTTACTTCAAAGAACTTCTATACAGCGCGACATGACGTGTGGGCGGGGCCTACGAGACCACGTGGCTTCTTCCTTATTATAAGTGCAGTGAAGGTGTGGCGACTTTTTTGTTGCTGATCCGACTCAGTTCTACAATGAACGCCTGTTTTATGGTAGATTTATGAGTTATCGTCCCCCCCCCAGGTTTTTATGGTATACAACAATTAATTGTGTGAATTGTAGTTGGTCTATATGTGCCCTGGCGAGCAGTTCAGGGTGTGCCTCCCTTCTCTTTCCAAAGGTCAACTGATCACTTCAAAGAGGGCAAGCTATACAAAATGGATTTATGGATATTGTATTGTGATATCAGTATTGCTGCTGTATGTGCTTGATCATGTGTAAAGCTTATTATGCAAAGTGACCTCCAGCATCACTCATCAATCAGTCATTAATCAGTCAATTGATAACAGTGAACTGATTCATCAAATCAGAAGAAGGAAATGGATACACAAACACACACGCATGCGCGCACACACACACACACACACACACACACACACACACTCACAGAGCTGCTCTGGCGGGCGGGCGGAGACGCGCGCCCGGCGGGCTGTTGTGGACAGACGAACAGGGTGACCACTGTTCCCCGCTCCGACCCAGATGCAATTGATGACTGGGGGTCCGGTCATGAGCCGGGGGCCCGCTCCAAAAATGAATGGAACGTTTGCCGGGAGGGGCAACTTGCGGGGCTCTTTTGGCTCCTCCATAGGGCCTTCATTTAGCCTCTCGGTGGCTCCGCAGATGTGCGCCAAGGCCAGATGTGCCGGCCGGGCACCTGTCCCGAGGAGAAGGCTGACGGCACAGTGAGGCTTGTCCATGCAGATGGGTCACACAGGCTGCCCATTGTACGACACACACGCATGCGCGCACACACACACACACACACACACACACACACACACACACACACACACACACACACACACACAAACAGCACAGATGGACGAGATGGGACGGCGCCATCTAGTCTCCTCAACACACTTGGTCGCCGTGTGAAACAGGAAGTCAGAAGAAGACGGTGGCAAACGGGAGGAATATTCATGCTCCGGTGAGGAGGAAGGAGGAGGAGGAGAACGGCGGAAGAGGGGAGGAAGGTGGAGGGGAGTAAAGGAAGACAAGGGAGGAGGGCAAAAAGGTGAGAGGAGGAGAATTGAGGAGGGGGGGTGAAGAGGAAGAGGCAGGAGAAAGGAGGAGGAGGCGGAAGAGTGGGAATGAAAGGAGGAGGAGAAAGGAGGACAATAAGAGGAGGGGAAAGGACAGAGAAGAAGGAGGAGGACGAAGGAGGATGCGGGAGAAAGATGAAAAAGGATGAGAGGAAGAGAAACAAGGAGGAGGCAGGAGGAAAAGAAATGATGAGAGGAGAAAGAGGGAGAGGGATGAAAAAGAAGAAGGTGAAGGGACAACAGTGGAGGAGGAGGCCAAGGTCAGGAGGAGGACAATGGAAGAATACAAGAACCCAGGACGTTTAGGTGTTCGGTGTCTTTGACTTAAAGGAATCCTTGTTTGATTCCCCACTCGGAGGATCTTAAGTCCAAACTGACAGATGATATTTCAAAAAAAAAAAAAGAAATCCCAGCATTCCGTGCGGCAGCCAGAACGTGTGTTCGCCATACTTGTGTGAGGTTTCCAGGTTGGACGCGTTCTCTCCCTCCACACGCATCTTGATGCTGTCCACTTGGACCTTCCGGCCACGTTCTGCGGCTCCGGAATCAAGCGGTCCTTCCCGAACATGGGGTTCGTCTGCACAAACAAAATTTCAAGCGCTCCTTCCTGCCGCCGGCGCCGAGTTATTGCATCATCAGAAGAGGACAGAGGAGGATTGTGGGTAACGGCAGCCCTTGAGAGTCCCTGCTGTCGGAGTAAAGGGGTGGAGCGCGAGCAAAAAAACGGAATATGTGTGTGGGAGAGTGTGTGTGTGTGTGTGTATGTCACAGTGGGCCTGGCTACTCCATGCCGTTCCTCAGCATCTGATTGGCTGCGATCAGCATAACGCTGATGATGAACGCCATGGCGAAGGCGCAGATCAGGCTCTTCCTCACACACGTCTGACGGTTCTTCTTGGACGGGTGCACTAAGGGAGAAAGACATGAGAACAAGAGTCAAGCCACCGTACTGGCGTTTACGGGGCGTCCTTGAATGGATCGGTGCAGTCGCAACAACCTAAAACCATTTCACAGTTCACCAGTGTTCATATTTATCCATCCAGCCGTCAGTGGGGGCGAGTCAATAAAGGGTGCTAGGGCATCGACCCACCAGGGTGGTGGTCATCACCTTACTTTTCTTGAAGACAGAAAATTGAATTAAAAATACTGACAATAAAAAAAAAAAAAAAAAAAAAAATCATGTCATGATGCACTTTCGGTCTGAGGTGCAGAAATGTTTACCCATTGACAGTTGTTAAAAGCCTGACATGTGCAGCACCTTCTCAGCAATGCAAATAGAAAGGAGAGGTGCGACATTCTAACTAGATAGCTAGCTTGCTGGAATGTCAACAAGCTAGCTAGCCATTTTACTTTATCTACCTACCTACCTACCTACCTACCTTCCCACCTATCCACTGACCATCCGCCTATCTAATTGTCTTGTCATCCTCCTCCCAACCACACCTTCCTCTTCTCCTCAGGATTATTTTCTCATTGCCGTCTTCTCCCATCCATCTGCTCATCCTCCTCATATCCTCATCCTCACCTCCTCATCCTCTATTCATCTCCTTCTCACCCTCACCTCCTCCCACAGAGTTGACAGCATCTTCAAATCAATAAATCAGGAGGTGACAGGAGAGTTGATGAGAAAATGTCAAATACTTTCTGACAGCCCCACATACCACATACGCTTACAGTATACACACACACACACACACACACACACACACACACACACACACACACACACACACACACACACACACACCTTTACAGTGTACACACACGGAGGTATTCACGAGTACCTCCTTCAAATTCGGTCTGACAGTTTCCTGCATTCTCCTTGAGGCTCTCTTCCTCGTTGATGATGATGTTCTCAATGTCCTTCATGGTCAGGTGGTCTCGGAAGGCGTAGAAGAGGACGTGCTTCAGCTCCTCCAGCGTGATCCTCTGCATATCGAACTGCACACACACACACACACACAGACACACAAAATTGTGGCACACCACGGTATTACATTGAAGGCGGAACTGTGGAAAAAAAACCCTAAGAAAAATGATTGTTTCAAAATCTGTGATATTGAGTGGGGTTCACTATTTTTTACAGGTAAACACAATGAGATCACATCAGGCTCGGGTGCAGATTAAATTGTGTCCTCCTAATGGACTCAATGACAGGTGTCAGGAGGACAAAGAAAATATATGCTGACTACACCTAAACAGAGTGACGCATGTCTGGCACCATCCAAGCCAAACCTGCATGTCACCTGTCCTTGGGGGAGGTCAGTGGCCCGATTGCTGCTGCCTGAAGCTGGTTGCCTCCGGTGATGGGGAGGTGGCAGACAAGCAAAGTATGAAAAATGTATTTTCCTGCGCTAGCCAGCATTCACTTTCCTCTAGCGCCCAGTGACCTTTAGGAGACAACATGTCCACGGTTATGACAATGAAGGGGGGTGGGGTGGGCTGACGTATAACTCAATCAAATTATGCACCACAATCAAAAGCATCCAATCAGGAAATGACCAGAATATATAAAATAATTCCATCCTGCTTCTGGCTAAACAAGTGCGACAAGAAACGACTTTAAAATCTACCAAAGCCCCAAACGGCACTCCAATTCAATCGAAAAAAATGTAACACAATTTGAGTGATTTCAGAAGAAGTGTAACAATGGCTTGTTTGTTGTGTAACAAAGACATTTAACAGTGGAACACAACCGAGACAGAGACTGCAACACACGTGGAGTTCAAAAAGTGTAACACACAAGAAAGATACCTAACACAGGCATGTGTAACTAACTCAAAGAGGTGTAATAAAGACATGCAAGACAAAGATGTGTGGCTCAAAAAAGGAACACATGCAGCACATGAAACATAACAGCATATAACACAAAAACAACAGTAATAAAGACACGTAGCAAAAAGTGTCACACAGACCTATATCGAACAAAAGAATTGGAACATGATATGTAACAGATGTGTAGCTCCAATAAAGTGTCACACAGACATGGGTAATGCAAAGAATGTCACAGACGATGTAATGCGGCAAAAGCACGTGACAGAGAAATTTGTAACACAGAGTAACATAGACCTGTGCAATAGAAAAAGTGTAACACAAAAACGGTAACACAGACATGCAATACAAACAACTGTAACAGACATGTAACACAAAAATGAAACACAATGTGTCACTCGTTCATGAAACTCAGATATGTACAATCCTAGGAAGTAAAACGTGTTAAAACTGTGTAGCACAAAGAACTGTTCAACAGACCTCATAATAGGTGTTTCACAGACCAGACGTGAAACAGAACAGAGATGTTACACATTTAGAAAATGCAACACAAATGCTGTAAATCAAAGATATGTAACGTGTTAAAATTATAGAACAGCGAAATATGACCAAGAACTGTAACACAGACCTAACAATATGAATACGTGTTACACAGAGCAGATGTGAAACAGACCAGACATATGTAACATGTACATGCAACAAAAACCGTGTAACACAAACAGATGTTAAAGTAACACTAATGTGTAGCATATCCATTCATTAATTTTCTGGACATGCTTATCCTAAAAACTGTGCGACAGACGTGCTAATCACCCGGACACTGTACGAGCGCTAATGTAACACTAACACATTTAATATGCACCGGCACAAACCCTAAGAGTGGAACACAGTCATGTGTAACAAACACTTGTAATAGAAAGACAAAAGTGGCCGCTTACTTCAAAATCATGTGTGGTGTTTTCATTCTTTTTTTAAATGTGTTTTGCCACGAAGAGCACACGTGTGTGTGAGAGAGGTGGGGGAGGGCGGGGGGGGGGGGACTGAGGCCATGAGATTGAGAGTCCTCTGTGTCTCTTGGCGTCGTTTAGCAGCTCAAAGGTGAAGACCAAAGTCATCAATAGCCAATTAGTGTCAGCGTGATTCATTATTAGCGTTATTAAGCCCAGGGGCTTCGTCGCTCGTGAACCGACTGCGCCGCACATTCAGCCACGCTCGATAAACGGTGCTGCAAACAAACAAGCAAATCTTCTGCCTCACATTTCGTTGTCATTGGCCGAGATAACACAAAACATTTATACTTAGTGACAAAAAAAAAAAAAAGGCCTGCAGTTGAACATGAAAAAATGGATTGGAACGTTGCACCACTTTCACACTTCAGCTCAAAATAAATTCATCTGCTCATGTAAACATGTGCCTGAAGACATGTAAGCACACACACATTTCATCTTTCCGCAAGGTTATTTTCAGTGAAGTGTAGCATCACCAGTTGGCTTAACTGAATTGGTAATTATTTTTCACATTCTCCCAAGTGGAACATTTTTCATGATGTCACATTTTCCATGACATCATTCCCAAATCTAGACATTTAACTCCTTCCACATTTCTCAACCAAATTAAAGCCATTCCAACATGCTCATCTCATTCAGGAGAAACACAGAACTATTTATCACATGATGAAGATGACCACATTTTCACAATAAAATTCACTATTCATGAGACATTTAACATATCTACATTTTCCGAACTATATTTCAACAATTCAAAAAAAAAAAAAACGCACGCACGTGCACGCGCACACACACACACACACACACACGCACACACGCACACACACGCACACACACACACACACACACACACACACACACGATCAGGGGTGCCAGGCGGTCTCCAGTTGTCCATGTACAGCCGACTAGATCATCCGCAAGGGGAGATCTTGCAGTCTACCTGCCAATGTCATACACGGACTCTAGACAGTCAGTTTCTTTCTCTGTAATGTCAAGCAGGGTGTACTCGGACATACTGGGCTCGGGCAGGTCTGATTTTTACGCAAATGAGGGATGCTAGAAGAATCCAGGAAAAGACTACAGTACTTCCATGCCACAACGGCGCACAAAGATGCAAACTCTCCATTATGCCCAATTCTACCAGTGCAAAGTCAAACAAAATAAAAAGTGTAACAAAACCATGCGTAACACAACCACATTTAACAGACTTGAAAAACAAGTTAAATATGTTGCTAATGAAGTATCTGGTGAACATAGACTAAAAAAAATCAGAAACAATGCAGGTACTGTATGCTTTTGACGGAAGCGAAGACGTCATCAATATAAAACACAAAAAAAAAACCCCAATACAATAGAATAAATCATTGGCGGTGGCACAGAGGACGTCCACTTAACAGTGCAGAGATCGTGAGTTCGAATCTGGCCCTGGCCTTCCTGTGTGGAGTTTGCATGTTCTCCCCGTGCCTCGAGGGGTTTTCTCCAGGTATTCCAATTTCGTCCCACGTCCCAAAAACATGCATGGTAGGTTGATTAGAACACTCAAAATTGTCCCGAATTATGATTGTGAGTGCAAATGGTTGTTGTTTGTTAATGTGTGCCCTGCGATTGGCTGTCAGTCAGTTCAGGGTGTCCCCGCCTACTGCCTGAAGACAGCTGGGATAGGCTCCAACACGCACATGACCATCGTGAGGAGTAGCAGCTTGGATAATGGATGGATGGAAAATCATAGGCTCAATGTCACTATGAATATATGTGATTCATTTGCATCAATTCATTGTGCTGTGTTGCGTGTGACACCTCATTTGCATATGGATGAATTAGATCATCACAGTGTGCCACACTGAGCTTGAATTCAAAAAAAGTCATCACATGAGGGCAGGAAAACAAAGTGCTTCTGATGGCGGGTCAACCGACAGAGACGATGATTAGCGCAATAAATGCATCCGGGGGTGAAGTATTGACCATGATCCCTTTCACAAACATGTAACACAAGAGCATTAATGCGGTTTCAGTGTTTCGGACATGCCATTAACATAAAAATGTTTTAAAATGACAAAATTAGAAATACACTGTACATGTTTTACACAGGATAGCAATGAAGTGGAACACAATAGTGTGACACAAAAAATGTCAAACAACAAAGCGTCACACTAATGGTGTAACACAAAAAAATGTGTCACAGAGAGTTACGTCACACTGACATGTAACACAAATAGATGTAAAGTAAACGTGTAACACTAGAAGAGTAATACAGACATGATTAACAGATGCACGAGACACAAGTGTGCTGTTGGTGCAGTTACAATACCTGCCAGAAGATGGTGTCGATGGTGCTTCCCAGGAAACCTTCTCTGGTTTCAGAAGAGAGAAGTTTTGGTCCCAGGATGGTCATGAACTCCTCAAAGTCCACCTGGCCGTCGCCTTCACAATAAAAGACAAATTAACATCTCTAGATATACTTGGTCACGTGGCAGATGGTGCTTCATCCTTTCAAAATAAAAGCCACCGTACAACAAGGTCATGTTGTGGATGGTGCTTCCCCCTTTCAAAATAAAGTGACTCCAGCATATGAAGGCTGGTTCTTAATTCTTCAAAATAAAATCTAACGCGCTACAAGGTCACACGATGGCTGATTCTTCATCCGCTCAAAATACAACACAATACAATAAAATAAAAGTTACCACTCCACAACTTCATGTGTTGACAGATTCTTTATTGTTTCAAAGTGATAGCGGTGGCTTCGTGACCTGACTACAAGGGTCAAAGCCGGAAGTCCATCAACAACGAAACATGCAGGCTGGTTCTTCATCCTTCCAGAATAAAAGCTAACATATCCAAACATGCATAGATACATACAGAACAAGCCACATCACAGCTAATTCTTCATTCCTTCAAAATAAAAGCTAACAGACCATAAATTCACATGGCACCAGGTTCTTCATCCTTTCAAAATAAAAGATTCCGCACTACAAGGTCACACACCAGCTGATTCTTAATCCTTTCAAATTAAAGCTACCTCACTACAATGTTATGTAGAGGCTGATTCTTCATCCTTTCAAAATAAAAATCACCACGCCATAAGAAGAGTAGTGGATAGCTCTTCATCAATCAATTTTTTTTCAAAATAAAAGTTTTAGAAATAAAAACTCACATGTCGCTGCTAGCTCCATAGCTCCATTTCTCTGTTGCATCATCAAGCGAATGCTTTGCGTCAGGAGTGACAACTAATGATGAATTATTAAGCAGGCATGCAAAATGTGTGTGCGTGTGTTCGTGAATGTTCGTGTGTTTGTGTGTGGGTGTGTGTGGGTGTGTGTGTGTGTGTGTGTGTGTGTGTGTGTGTGTGTGTGTGTGTGTGTGTGTGTGTGCGCGTAAGCCTCTCTCACCATCCATGTCGAGCCGCTGCATAATGATGGCGAGCTCCACCTCGCTGGGCATGTATCCCAGCGAGCGCATGGCCATTCCCAGCTCCTGCTTTGAGATGAAACCGTTCCCATCACGATCCAGAACCTTGAAGGCCTCCCGGATCTCTGCCACATAAAAAGGAAGTGCACCGAGTCAACTTAACGATGTTTGATGTGCATGACCAATGTTATTAACTGATTGTTTGTTTGTTTTTTACTAGATTTTTACAGTATACAGGCAAGTTGTAACTTAGAAGTGTGCACGTTGAGTGCACTCCCACAAAATTAAAAGCATGAAGAAGAGGCAGAGAAGATTCCCAACTCAGCCCACAGGTGTGACGAATGGTGAACTGTGTGGTTTGATTGAACATATTGGTGTTTAACTATGCCATGTCAAGTTCTCTTTAGTCATATGTGATGCTGCATCATGTGCGATGACGAAGCAAGTGATCGAACGTTAAAATCACCGTGGCATCAATGCTAATTTTTGTTCGTCCATCAAGGGTGTTTTGCATTACATTTTCAGCAAGCTAGTAAACTTCAATTCTCAGCAAACTTCAAGCGACAAATAAACAGCTTGAAGCAGGCATGCTTACGCATCTTATTTGCTGAACTGTGTAAGAAAGAGTCTTCTTTTCATTTTCCCCAAAGTGATACTGTACGAAAGTCTCCCATTTCTTGACAGCGAAAAAAAACAAAACTCAATTGGGACTTGCCCGACCATTGTAAAAACCCATTAAAAGAAACATCTGCAATACAGCAACGGTGCAAAGGAGGAACAGCAATATCGCGGGGGAGCACTGTTTTATATATAGAAGATGAACTTATGAATACGTTGCAGATATTGTCCATGCTTATGAATATGAATGAAATATGGACTTATTAATTCAGCGCTGATGCTTTCCAGCATATGAACACTTTTGACACAACCTCTCACTCTCGCCCTCTCTGCACAAGCAATTTTCCAGGTGGTGCCTTAATGTGACACCATTGGATTCCCATTATGTGAGCGCATGTGTGTGTGTGCACGTGGGCGCGCGCGTGGCGCAGAATAATCCATCGGGTGCTCGAGCCTCTGAGCAATCACGGTGCTAAACAAAATCCACAACAACATCAGCCTGTATAATAAAAGTCAACGCCGTGCATGTCCGTAGAGTGCTGTTAGCAATTAGCAGCTCTTGCCATTATTAACTATTAAGCAAATAAAAAGTCAATGTCCCAAAACTGGGATTTATCACCAAAATGGCCGTGGGAGCACAGGGAGGCTGATGGCCTTCAAACGACCTTCACATCGACTTACTGGCTACAACCTGCAAAAGCAAACCAATGCAATTATCGATCTTAGTGAGACAATATATGTTATGTCTATTCTTTGTATACGTACACTGATGCTCTATATCAGTGGTTCTTAACCTGGGTTCGATCGAACCCCAGGGATTTGGTGAATAAGTCTCAGGGGCCCGACAGAGCCTCTACCATGGAGGATAAGACACACCCGACTCAACGTGTCAATTAGTTATGACACGCCCGCTTGGGCATCACTGGTTGGTTCATTTTATGCGTGATTAAAAAAAACGTATACTTTACACTTATACTAATTGTGTTTACTTCTTTCTGTTTTTAATAAATGCGTTTTTTATGTCTTGAATTTGTTAAAAAAAAAATCACATTTGTTTTTTTCAGTAATGAAGGGTTCGGTGAATGGGCACATGGACTGGTTGGGTTCGGTACCAAGGTTAAGAACCACTGCTCTATATGCTATAAATGTATGTACATGTTCATTCGATTATGTGTGTTCATAATGTTAGTGCATTATGCTGTATGTGTTTTATACTTAAGAGGTTATTTATAGAATTGTGCAGTATGTTATAGTATGGAGGGTGTTTATGGAAGGTACCCTTTGTACAGCCAGACATTTTTCAGCACGGTGGCCAGGGTAATGTGACAACTCACTGAGAGGTTAAAAAAAAAAAAAAAAAAGACATGAGCACACATAAACGTGCAAACATGTGCACTTCCATGAGTGAGGGTGCACACCGCCTTGCCTAGCTCGCAAACATGGCCCAGATGTCAAAACATCCACAGTCACGGTTTCATGAACCAATACTACCAAACTCATTGTACAAGCAGGAACAAACCTTAGGAAAAAAGACTCATGACGCAATATCTTGACATGCCACACATGTGAGGTGGCCGGATTATCTCGGCAAAGGAAAGGTGCTCACTGAGACAAATTTAGGCAGATTCGGGCAAGAATATTTGAGAGTAATGGGCCTTTTGTAGATGTGTGAGTTTACAGTAGATCATGAGAAATGGGAGTCAAAGTGTTGCCTTTGGATTTGGTTGTTTTTTTTTTTTTTTTATATGTAACGTATGTTCATTGTGGTGTGTATGTTATATACTACGTTGCATGGTGTGCAGCGCTGCTGCAGCAGTCAGAGTGTGTGTTTGTGTGTGTGTGTGCGTGCGTGTGTGTGTGTGTGCGTGTTGATTAGTATGCAGCCCATATTTTTCTGCTCTGACTTTGATGTGTTTAGTTGCACTGCTCGCCGGCTTCTTCTCGAAAAAGTGGGAAAGCTGTGCCGCATATGCACGCACACACGCAGACACACACACACGCAGACACACACACACGCACACACACACACACACACACACACACACACACACACACACACACACACACACAAAGAGACACTCCACTTTTGGATTATTATAACAAGCTTGATAGAAAATAACACAAAACATCTTCAGGCTAACTTGAAACTCCTGACTGAAAAGATGAACGATACGCTTTTGAGGAGAGCTTGTGCTTGTGCTTGGGGTTCATAATGAGATAAAATAGAAAATGTTTCTTATTGCGCTTGTGTGGTACTGTTTTGAAATGGTGCAGCTCACATCAAAGAGAAATATGAAATGGAAATATGATGAGATGTGACTCACCATGGAGTTCCTCCACAGAGATACTGGCCAACACGTCGCTGTCGGTGTCCGAGAGCGAGCGGCTCAGGTAGTTGCCTTTGTACAGCAGGCCTGCCGTCACATGATGGAACGGCATCTTCTCCCTGGCAACACACAACAACGCTATCAGATCAAGTCTTTTGGTGAAGCAGCATGTAACTCCTTGCCCAAAGTTGTTGTACCCTTAAATGTCTGCTTCCAATCAAAATGACATGCTTCCTGTTGTCTTTTGAGCCATGGCTTTTTTGTGGGTCTATTTATGATAAACATGACAACCAATTTTCACGCTGGTGAATCAGATTGGCTTCAGGAGCTGACTGTTCAAAACATTCATAATCTAATTTTGTGTTTCATTGCAAGTCACCACACTTAGCTGCCATGCTCTGGCCACACGCAATGAGCGAAAACGAAAAAAAAAATCACTATTTGCCGTCATATACCTATGTAGCATACATGATTCACATTTGGTAGCAATTAGACACAAGCCCGACGAGTAGTCTGTCTTTGAAGGACATCAGGAAAATGACCTTAAAATGGCCACTTCAAATCAAAATGGCAGCCTTCCTTTGTTTTTTTCAGTCATTGCTTCTTGAGGCTTTTTTGTAGGTCTACTCAGGATAAGCATGTCAACCATATTTCATACGTTTCGAACTCAAACGAGCGTCAGGGTATGATTTTCTTTTTTGTTTGATTTTCTTTTTCTTTTTTTTTTTTGTTTAATCCCTTCAGGTGCTAAAAAGGCTACTGTAAACCAAAATGGGAGACTTTCTGTGTGTTTTCAAACATGGCTTCTTGAGACTTTTTTGTGGGTCTCTTTATGATAGACATCCATCCATCCATTCTCTGAGCCGTCAAATAAATTCAATGTTTCTATGACAAACAATTCAGACCGAAACTTCCTCTGTCTTTTCAAGCATGGTCTCTTGATCATTTTTTTTCCACTTATGATAGACATGTTGACCAAATTTCACGTTGCTAAATCAAACTGGCTTCAGAGGCTAAATTCTTTGAAATGAATTCAGTTGGGTGCGAATGAGCTAAACACGGCCACCATGAACCATCTGTTTCTTTTTGGGCATGATTTTTTTTGTGGGTCTGCTCATTGTAGACATGTCGAACAAATGTTATTTTGCTGTCAAATTGGGTTTGTGGGTTGAATTTTCAAAGAAATTCTTCACAATAAATTGGACGTAACAAAGGTACGAGCATGTTCCAGAGGGGGTACGGGCGTCGACTGGTTAGCATGTCGGCTTCACAGTGAAGAGGTGCAGGGTTCGATTCTGACTCTGGCCTTCCTGTGTGAAGTTTGCATGTTCTCCACGTGCCTGCGTGGGTTTCCTCCCACATTCCAAAAACATGCATGGCGTTTTAATGGAACACTAAATTGTCCTGCGGTGTGAGTGTGAGCGCGGATGGTTGTTCGTCGACGCGTGACCCGCGATTGCGAGCAATCAGTTCAGGGTGTACCCCGCCTACTGCCTGATGACAGCTGGGATAGGCTCCAACATGCCCGCGACCATTTTGAGGATAAGCAGGCTATAAAATGGATGGATGGATGTTCTATGGGAGCAGGTTCTGAAATTAAAATGTTGCCAAGTGTTGCCCTAGTCATCTTGAACTTGACTTTTTAGTGTTGTGAAATTTGCTCCGTGAAGTGAAATGTTCACAGAGGTGATGAATAGCCTCCTAGGGCTGCCTCTTGGGGATTGTTTGCCAGCTAAAGCTTCCATAAAGAGGGTCGTAAACAACAATAAAACAAGCATAACTCATCTGCTAAATGGAAAAGTCACACAGCGGGACACTCTACTAGACTACTGAGTGTGCGTGTGTGTGTGTGTGTGTGTGTGTGTGTGTGTGTGTGTGTGTGTGTGTGTGTGTTGCATAGACTCGCGGAGGTCTTGAGGAAGGTAGTCTCCTGATGCAGTGGCTCTAAAATTCTAACTTCTTTTGTATGACAGTTACTGTTGTTTCTTCACCACCCCCCCAAAAAAAATCAAAAACAATACGTCTGTATTTTTAGTCCATTATAATTTAAAAAAAAACATTCTGTTTAACTGTAGCTTTTTAAAATGGAAAAACATTTATTTCCAAATGTTAAAAAAAGATTATATTGTATTTTGATTCAAAATTTTTCCTTTCAAATGTATGACTTTATTTCTGTAAAAATAGTAAAAAAAAACATGATTCCATAAAATTACACATGCTGCTTTAATTTAGAAAATATAACTCAAAGCTTACATTTTACAAAAAAAATCCTAATATTTTGACTTTTTCTTTTGAAAAAAAGGTTGAATACTTGCAAGATTATGAATTTTCAAGACATAAAACCTCATTCATTTATTTGTTCTCAATTGATGACTTTTTGTCCTCAAAAGTATATTACTTTATTCTTTTACAATTACAACTTTTTATAGAAAAGAATTTGACTTTAATGTATGATTAATTAAAAAAAAATCACATTAAAATTGTGAGCAAACTGTTGGAGTAAGATTAATATGACTAATATTGTATGACTACACCTTTTTTCCTTGAAAAAATGTTACTCACAATATTACATTTTTTTTCCTCTAAAAAAACAAAAAACGTCCGTATACTAGTAAGATTTTTCGTTTTCAAGAAATCCGACTTTATTCTCATTAGACTTCCAGTCCTGGATGAGACAGTCTCATCGCCTTGGCAACAGATGACGAGATGAGACAATATACACACAGATACAGTCATACCTCGGTTTTCGACCATAATCCGTTCCAGAACGCTGTTCGAAAACCGATTTGTGCGAAAACCGAAACCACGCTCTTTTTAAAAAAAAAAAAAAGTCAATTGAACACGTCTGCTCACAATGGAACGCTACACGAGGAAGCATCACTTCCTCGTCTGCCCGAGGAAACGTCACTTCCCTCGTGTAAGGAAGGCGAAAGGAGTCAAGTGGCGCATTAAAGTGCGGTCAGTTTGGTCGAGAACCGATTTTCGGTCGTAATCTGAGGCATAAAAAATTTGAAATTTTTAGTCGAAAACCGATTTGGTCGAGAACAGAGACGCTCGAAAACTGAGGTTTGACTGTACAATGTTATCTTCTAAAAGACTGATTGTGATCTCTCATCTTATCTCGCATATTCATATATTGCACATTAAAATCAAAAACAATACGTCTGTATTTTTAGTCCATTATAATTTAAAAAAAAACATTCTGTTTAACTGTAGCTTTTTAAAATGGAAAAACATTTATTTCCAAATGTTAAAAAAAGATTATATTGTATTTTGATTCAAAATTTTTCCTTTCAAATGTATGACTTTATTTCTGTAAAAATAGTAAAAAAAAACATGATTCCATAAAATTACACATGCTGCTTTAATTTAGAAAATATAACTCAAAGCTTACATTTTACAAAATAAATCCTAATATTTTGACTTTTTCTTTTGAAAAAAAGGTTGAATACTTGCAAGATTATGAATTTTCAAGACATAAAACCTCATTCATTTATTTGTTCTCAATTGATGACTTTTTGTCCTCAAAAGTATATTACTTTATTCTGTGTGTGTGTGTGGGTGGGTGTGTTAACTATATTTATATTTACTTGTATGTACACTAAGACAGCCTGAAAGTGTTTCAATGTGCGACATAAAAGTCCTTAAATATGACATAGTTTAGTGCCCCCCCCCCCAAGCCTCAGCGCCGCGAACATCCCATAATAGTAAATCACCTTAACAATTCACTGGCTGCGACACGCGCGCACACACACACGCACAAAATAACGGTACTTGCCACGGGATGGAGCTCCACTCAGGTGTTGGCGACGAGTCCATTGTTTGTGTATAGGTGCCCTGACGTTGACTGGTGACCAATCCATTGTCTGCCTTCACATGTTCTGGCATGAACTGACGACCAGTCACTTTGTTGTATATGTCTTGACTTTAATGGGCGACCAGTCCATCGTTTGTCTTTATGCACAATGATGTTGAGTGGCGACCAGTCAAATGTTCTACCTATCTGTTGACATTGGCTCTGCAACAAGCCTGTTGTTTGTCTGCATCCGCTGTGACATTGACATTGTTTGTCTTTATGTGTTCTGACATTGACTGGTGACCATCCCTTTTTTTTTTTTTAAATTTAAATCGACAGGTGCCACGACATTTACCAGTGTCACATCCATTGTCTGTCCATATACGGACTGACATTAACTGGTTGATGAGTTCATTTTCTCATTACGTGTGACCTGACTTGACATTCATTGCCGACCAGTCCAGTTTTTGTCTCGACACATACAGCATGGGCAAAAAGTCAATGTCAGGACCCACCCTGAAATTGACCGGGGACCAGTCCAGGATAGATCCCGACTCCTGGCCAAAGTCAGCTCTGGTTGACTCCAGTGAACCCACTCCTCTAACCGGGACAAATGCCACAGAAAATGAACGGATGGATGATATTCAACAGCAAACCGATGACAACACTGCAGCAAAAGCGGTTTCGCTTTCAATCATTCAGAGCCACCAGCGACCTGTTTCAAATGGACCGTAACAATCCAGCGTGGGGTTCTTACCCACAAAGCCCGCCGTGTAAATCATCAGGAGGCTGTGCAAGAATGTGGCTTGAAGCCCCGCTGTCCCTCAGGTAGCCTGGCAGGTTGCCGTTCGCCTCGACCGCTGCCCCTCCTTCCTCCTCCATCACAAGTCCGGCTGGCAGCCCCGCAGCCTCACAACCCACGACGACGCGTGCGTGACAAGCATGGTTGCCGCTCACCTCCCGGCCGCCGCATGGCTTTGAATATTTGAGCGTGGAAGCAGCAGGTACCGAACGCCGCCTCCTCGTGCTGCTCTCTACCCTCTCCCGCCACCGCCTCCTCGTCATCAACCCTCCCTCCCTCCCTTTCATCCTCAAAGCGACCCCCACCGCCCTGCTGACATGACGCGAGAAGCACTCCCCGAGTCCCACTTAAACACTGAGAAACAATCAGACACACTCCACCGAGAGATGCCAACATTTCCAACAAAGAGCAGGTAAAGAGACGCAGGAGGGAAGCTCGAGACCCGTGAGAGAAGGTACACGTGAAACCTAGGAAATGCAAGCAGACATGAAAGAAGGTAAGGAGACATGAAAAAACAGAGATGAGGTCAAGAGACCTTTGAAACGAAGATGCGAAAAGACAAGAGAAGATAGAGAGGCACATGGTACAGGAAGAGACCTAGAAGAAGGTAGCGAGGCGCAGGACAAGCAGAGAGAAACTACAGATGCTTGAGAGAAGGTAGAGAGTCACAGAGATGCAGAGAAGGTTTGGAAATACAAGAAAGTAGAGAGATAAGAAATGGAAAGAAGGAAGAGAGTGAGCTGATTGAGAGACAAGAAAAGGGTACGGGGGATAGATTAGAAACAGACATACTGTTGACAGTGTTGAAAGAAAGAGAAGGTGAAGGGATGAGAGAAACTGATGTTTGAGAGAAGGTAGCAAATCCCATCGAGATGCAGAGAAAGTAGAAAGACGAATTAGAGAAAATAGAGTGAGACATGGCAAATGGAAAACAGGCACAGACAGACACAGTAGAAAGAACCGGAGACCAGAAGAAGAGACATGACAAACAGTGAAACAGCAAGGGAACACATTCAAAAGAGAGGGAAAGTGAAGAGAAGCTTGGAGGAGATGCAGGAGAGAAAGTAGGGACACATGGGAAATGGAAACAGGTAGAGAAGGACAGAGGGGCAAGGACGTGAGAAGGTAGGAAAAAAAAAAACAGAGCAGAGACATGAGATGTAGAGAAACATTCGAAAGACAGAGAGAAGGTGAGAGAAAGGAGACAAAACGGAGATATGTGGGAAACGGAAAACAGACAGACAGAATGAAACAGAGACCAAGAGAAGAGACATTTGAGACAGCGGACAAAGTCGAGAGACACATTCGAGGCTAGCAAGACATTACAGATTACGGAGGGGAGAAGATTGTGAGACACATGAGATATGGAGGAAAATGTCAAGTGTCATTAAAGAAGGTAGGTCGAAAAATGTCAAGGAAAGGAAAAAAGACTAAGTGGAGACAACAGGAGAGAGACTTTCGAAAGAGAGGAGGTAGTTCCACATGCGAACTAGAGAGAAGGTCGATGAGACGTCAAGCGGACATGCCAACACGGGACGCTGAAGTTCGATGTGCATCGAGACTGAGTCGTGACAGTCGGACGTGAAGTCAGCCAGCTCAGGGCGCTGGAATGTAGCGCCCCACCTTGGTCCGATCTCTTGCATATAAAAGGAGCTACGAGACATGTCACACTTTTATACGGGAATTCAATTTAAAAAAATAATACGAATTAAAAGCAAGAAGACTTTGTACTTCCAGCACTGGAAACACTGGTTCTCTGATTAATATTGCATGCGTGGAAAAGAATTAAACCAGAATAATTCATCAATGCATGGGTACAGCCATGTCAGGCGAAATCATCTTCAGCTGCAAACCAGAAGTGACGTTGCCTTGCCTGCTTATATTTAAATATTCTACGTCGACTGACAGATTTTGAGAGGGATGAATATAAATCATTCGATTCTGGGTACACCATGGCCTAAACGGTTAACATACTGCAGCCACAAGCGAAAACGTCGTGAACCGGAAAAGCGTCACATCAACGTCTTGATGTAAAAGAGATACACCAAAAAAATCAAATAAAATAATCCAGATCGGCTCAAAATGAAGATCAGGGGTCACCAACAACCTTCTTGAAACTGAGAGCTACCTCTTGGGGAATAATGAATGCAAAGGGCTGCCGGTACGATGCACATTTCTGAAATAACGTTTTAAAATGTGTTCAATTTAACCTTCATGTGTGAAGATATTGATCATATTCATGAATTGTCGCAACAATTAGGGAAGAAAAATCAATAGGCAACACTACTTTTTAATGAATCTCCGCCAGTGCCCAGAAAATCACAATATCCCATACCTGGTAAACTATTTTTACAACAGGCCGACAGAGAGTCAACGAGCAAAGATTTGCCCATCCCCAAACCGGAAATAATACGAACTCAGACAACATACAAATGAAATGACTTAACGATGCACAAGTCGCCCTAGATAGATAAACATATATTTAGAAAAATAAAATGATTATTTTTTTTCCCCCCCAGTAATGTGTTTACCACCGTCAATGGTGATGCCGTCGATTGACCAGCCACCACTGGCAGAGAGATGCAGTAAAAGGTCGAAGTGGAGAGAATGTAAAAGACAGAAGAGAGAAGGTAGTGGAGAGATAAACCAGACACGACGGGAAAAAAAAAAGTATCATGTCAAAAACATCAAGTGTGGCTCTGTGAAGACGGCACAGACAGACAGTTTGAAGCGACATCCTATGGTGCAACCCTCTTTTCAGAGGAGTAAGTACACAGACAGTGTGCCCCCCCTTTAACACTCCTCCCACCCCACACACATGCCACACGTGTCAATCATCCAACAGGTGTGATGAGATGACCCTTCAGTGCCAACTTACCAGTGTGTATGCGGCAATGTCCTCTGTTCTTTCGGTACGGCTGTGATCCGTTCCCTTCCACTTTCTTTTCTTCTTCTTGTCCTATTTCCTAAAATTCGCACCCGTCTGTTGCCTCCATGTCTCCAATGTGTCTCATAAAAACAAAAAGATGAATATTACATTTCCGTGACGACGTGTTGCGGGCTGCTCTCCCCCCATGCTCCTTTTCTTCCTCCTCCTCCTGCGGCGGGAAAAAGATGATGATGATGAAGATGATGGGGAGGAAGACGGATGAGAGAGCAAGAGGGAGCGCGTTCACGTGCACGAGCGCACTGGTTGGCTGCTTGCGGTGACATCATCGCCCTGTCGTTTTTTTTGTCTGTCAATGACACACTTTTTTGGTTGATATGCGGCGCATGTGTCCGGTATGGATTTACCGCCAACTGCGGTTTTGTGTGTGTGTGTGTGTGTGTGTGTGTGTGTGTGTGTGTCTTTTCTTTTTTCAGGCTCGTAAATGGGGAGTTGGGGACTTCAAAGACATTCGTGCTTGGTGGTAAATCAAACGGCAAAGGCAAAGTTTGAGTGTGTCCCAAATAGCAGAAATTAAGTGTAGGAAAATGACCAATTGTAGTCCTAGGTGGAATTAAAACAGCACTTACAAGAATTCAGGTAAAGAGAGAAAGAGAATGAGATATTGGACACAGGACACAAATTAAAGACAGAAGGTAGTGAGATGGAAAAAATGTAGCGAGACCAAGACAGAGAAGCTCGTGAAACACAGAGACGGAGAGAAGGTAGCGTAAAAAATTTGAGACAGAGAAGGTATAGCGACAAAGACGGTGAGAAGACAGCGAGCCACGTGAAGGATGGACAGAAGTCAGTGAGGAAAAAAATAGAAGGTAGCAAGACAAGCACAAGGGAAGCTAGTGTGACACATTTGAAGTGGAGAGAAAAATAAGCTCACGAGAATCACAGAAGGTAATGAGAAAAAATTTAATTGAGATGGAGAATGTAGCAAACCAAATTAAAGACAGAAAAGGTCGCGAGACAAAGAAGTTAGCAAGGACATTTCATGATGAAGACAAGCTGGCGAGATTCAGTCAAGATGGAAAGGGTCGAGGGAAAAATTAAAGACAGCAAGAACGTAGCGAGACAGAAACACAGAGAAGGTAGCGAGAAAAATTAGAGGCAGAGAATATATAGCTACAAAGAGCCAGACGCTTTGGATGGACAGAAGTTAGTGAGAAAAAAATCAAGACAAAGTAGCAAGACCAAGACGGGGGAAACTCGCGAGACACATTTGAGATGGAGAGAAGGTAGCAAAAAAAATTGACGACCGAGAGAAGGTACTGAGATAAAGAAGCTAGCAAGAAACACAGAAGGGAGAGAGAAAAATTAAAGATGGAGAAGCTAGCAATATGGATTTGATATTGAGAAGGTAGCAAAACAAATTAAAGACAGAGAGAAGGTAGCAACACAAAGAAGCTAGCAAGAAAAATTAAAGATGGATTCGCTAGCGAGACGCATTAGAGATGAGAGAAGGTAGAGAGAAAAATGAAAGACGTTATAGAGAAAAGGATAGAGATAAGCTAGTGAGCTACATTAGAGATGGAGTCAAGGTAGCAAGGAAATTAAAGACAGATGATCGCAAAACAAAGACGGAAAGAAGCTAGCGATACACAATGAAGATGGAGAGGGTAGCGAGGAAAAACTAAAAACAGAGAAGGTAGCGAGACAAAGACAGAGAAGGTGGCGAGAAATGAAAAGATGGAGAAAAGCTAGCGAGACTCTTGTGAAAGACCAGGTAGCGAGATACATTAGACAGAGATAAGGCAGTGAGAACATGTTAAGACAGAGAAGAGGTATAGAGACGAATAAAATAGACATGGCTGTGACAAAGTTGAAGAAGTGCTTTGAATGTGGTGTCATTTCCCATTTAACAATTTCTCTACTCATCTGCACTCCAAAAAAAAACAAAGAAAAAAAACAGAGACTCCTAAAATGGATGTGTGTAAGAGACATAAGGAAGCAGCATCTACTATTTCCCTTTATGCTAATGTGGCTCTAGTCTACATTTCGCCAGGAGCCAATTTAGCATAGCGTTGGCTAAAAGGTGTAAAGGGAAGATTCTGGCAGACCATATGACAGTCATCAATCATCGCACACTCATCTGTGAGTCATGGCACTACTGCCGTCCTTTAGCACTATGCTAAGCTAACGTGCTGCCATCAACATCTAAGAATCATTTAATCACTGACCTAATAATTATGACTAAAAACCTACTTGATAAGTTAGTCCTAGAAGCATAGCATAGCATAGCACCAACTCAAAACATACGAAATTTGACAAATGCAAATTTCTTCAAAAGCACCCCCTCGAAAGTCAGGGGGAAAACAAAAGAGCCGATGACGACCTGTTTCACCCATCGACACTAAATTGGTTGGACATGGCTATCATGGCAAGATGTAACAAAAAAAATCTCATATTGGTTGCCCATAGTGTTTTGAAGCAGCTAATTTCTGTGAATTCCTTCTAAGTGCCTCATGAAAAGTGAGGACATTTGACAATTTAATATTCTTGTATTTTTTTTAATGGAATATCAATTTAAAAAAAAGAGTGAATAAAGAGTGCTTTGTCATACCACTGTGAGGCTAAGAAGTTGGGGCGATCACAAAGATGACGAAGTGAGTTAGAGTGCTTCCTCCCAAATGTCAATCACACATCTTACTGTCAATCAAAGACCAAAGTTAGTCAGAAGAACACAGTACGTGCGACATAACATTTTGAAGCGGATGTACGGCTGCATGTAAGGGGGACCTATTTGTATTAAAAAAAAAAAAGACTCAGGCAATAAAAATGATTATGTAGCATAACAGGTTGCTATAATAAAGTCAGTCACATGCAATTTTTCAACATCCTGTGAATGACATTTAGAAAAGCCATAATTCTATTTTATTGTTTCAAGAAAACATTAACAAAATGTGAACTTACGTTGCAAACACACAAAAAAATCTCTGCGGCAAACAGATGACATAGAATGTAACCACATGCACATACGTGGCCATTATAAAAATAGAAAAACAAGCAAGAATAACCAAAATCATGTGCTTACTTTTCATACAGTAGCAGTTTTTCATGTCTCTATATCTCTAAGCTTGAAAAGTAAGGTAATTTATCAGTAACCTAATCTAATGAGTTCTTATAAAATACCCCAACGGTGAAAATCACGTCACCTGTCATATTATGTATAGACAATTCTTATTGAATTGTTACATATTTTAACAACACAATAAATTTTAAATCAGTGTCTCCAAAAAGTTTTAAATTGCTTAAAGATGCCACAAAAGGTGGCAAAGCACTACATGAATGGGTTTAGTGTGTGTTTTTGTGTATGTGAGTGGCAAACAGTATTCCCCTCCTGTAGGCGGAGGGTAGGGACCGAGCCCTGCCGTGAATGACAAAAATCACAAACTCAACGCGACAAACTCACAACCCAGCTAAAAAGATTTAGAATTGCCTGTGGATGCCACAAGATGGTGGCAAAGAACTAATTTGTCCAAATGAACCTCCTCAACTGACTTCAACATAGTTCGTAGGCACCAAGATGCTACAAGGTAGCAGCAAAAAGCACTGCTTTTGTCGAAACCAACCTCCAGAACTGACTTCAACATAACTCCTTGAATCTAAGATGCCACAAGATAGTAGCAAACAACAAAGCACTACTTTTGTCTAAATGAACCTCCCCAACTGAATTCAACATAGCACCTTGGCACCAAGATGCCACAAGATGGTACCAAACTGTGAGGCACAAGTTTGATCTAAATGAAGCTCCTCAACTCACTTCAACAAAGTTTCTTGACACCAAGATCGAACAAGATGGTGGCCAAAAACTAATTTTCTCGAAATGAATATCCTCATGTCAGGTCAACCTTTTTTTTTTCCACCAAATAATGGATGTTCTAGAAAAGGTAAATTTGTAAAACGTCAGAAAAGTGAAGTCAATCTGTATGTGGGATAAAAACAGATTTTTTTCCCCCATTTATGTTAAGAAGGGATTGGGTGGGGAAAAAGCTTGGAACATTTGCAAAATGTGAGGAAAAGTCATTTAGCACGCTGTAGTGAGTGAGATCTGGCCCGTGTGCCTGCGTTTTGACAACTCTGCTCTGTAACGGGGCCTCTAATTAAGCTGCAGAGAGGATCAATTTAATTTAATCAACCAGCGTGAGACACTCACCAGATTTAATTCTGTCAGTTCATTAAGCAAACTTATTTAAAAAAAGGGGGGAAGAGAGCCAGAGAGAGAGAGAGAG